CTCTTCAAATTTAGTTTCGGGGAATGGTATTTCCCCGAATTAGAAATGTCCTTTTTCGATTGCCGAAGGGCCCTGAACCTGACCTATCAATGTGCGTTCGTTCGGGTCGTTAAAACTGCAAGTGGCACGCGTCCTATTTGAGGAAATTCATGCATTCCTCTGCGCTGTTAAGATGCCAGATATGGCAATGGTTACGAGCCACACTGTATACTTAATAGAGCGTTTAATTATGGGCAGATACAATGCTATTTGAGTAGACGTTTCGCAATTATGATATCCTTTCTTCTAGTCGTCACTTTGAAGAAGACACAATGTTCTACGAAGTGGATACGAGAAAGGCTATTTTATGCATAACTCCTATAAAATATTTTAATCTACAAGGACACGGAAAATCGATGAAAGTGCATGCTACTTATGTGGTCATTTTTGGCGAGTGTGATTCTCTAAGGTAGCTTGCAAGATGCAAATTTAGAAACCGGTGTCCCGGCGTAACTGAAGTACTTTGACGTTGTGCTGAATTCTGATCAATATTACATCCCCACCCAAGTACTGTTTTCCAGCCGAAATCATTTTCCAGAATTTCGGTCAATGTTTCATGAGGTACGGTGCCTTTACGTGGTTGCTTTACGTCTGGCGATGACGTATGTGACCAGCCCCTTCATGTTTGCCCCATGAACTTTTCCTATACCAATAAGGTTTTCCAGCAACATGGAATGACTCTCTGTAACAAATTTGTTTAGTTACCGACTTTTGGAGAGATCTGTCAGCTGTCCACGGTCCCAGTAGCCAATTCTTGTCTACTCTTTGGCAACTGATGTAATTGTGCGTGTGAGTGTTACTCGACAGACATTTTTCAAGACCAGCAGTCGGCGTTGACAGCCAGTATTCCTGTTTTTTTTTCGTAAAAAATCTTGCAACTCTCTTTTTGGACATTCGCAAAATCAGTGACCTATTTTGTCTTGTAACCTGTATTTGAGACACAGAACGTTACTTTTCAACGGCGTCTGAAATTATACAGTTCATTTTCGCGACAATGTGTGCTGAGCCGATACTTTTCTCCTAAAATTGGCACTTTACAGTAGGTCATTTTAGTACATACATTCCCTCTTGAAATAGTAAATAAATTGTCAAAATAAGCGGGTAGTTGTCAGTGTTGCAGACCACAGGTCACTTTGTGTGCTGCTTACGCGCTACTCACCTGCCGTTCTCGAATAATGGTCTCCACTTCTCAGAACTCGATTATGCTTGTGAATTTGGTCGGGGTGAACTTTCCGAACGCACTCAGAAACAACACTACACATTATTTGCCTGACATTTTCTCCAAATGGGTCACGCACATCTTGAACTCACAGTGTGTTATCAATTACCTTATCAGCTGTTTTTTGCAAACGCAAAAAGGTAGGTATCGCCGAATCAGCGAGTTTAATTTCTGGTTGTTTGTGACATCTGACTAAAGCGTTTGCTTCTAGTCGTACTGTCCTGTACACGACCACTGTAGTGATTCCCATACTCGCTGCTCAAACTGTTCGATATATCTACTTATCAGAACAGCTCGCCTGCAAAAAACGATCCTGATATTCATGTCTGCGCAGTCACAAAGCAGTTTTCCACACTTCGCAGCGTTGATGTTTCGACTTTTCTTACTCACCTGCTCTATTTTCCTTTTTTAGCCGAACTACTAGAACTAGGTATGTCATTGGAATCTTCGTTTTCCCTATTTCCTTGTTGCTATTCATCTTGGCCTTGCTGCACATGCAGCGGAGCTAGGAAAAAGACGTGATATTTTGTAGCCCATGTTACCTCGTACCTACGAACAATGGGTGGACTGTTTCGTGAAATTTTGGCCAAATTATGAAATGTATTTGCGATTAGTAAGGATTACTTTGGTGGGGCTGTAACACTGATTACCGTGTAGCATAATTTGTTCGTCAAGCCAGGATGTCGGCTTTTAAATGGGGTCCCTTCCGGCCGCATGCATAACTCATTCAATAAGAAATCACTACTAAAGTCGCACGAATATTCTCCCTTGGTTTCCGACAAGCCTATAAATTCAAATATATTTTATAGGAAACAGGCGCAAAATGTATCTGTTCTTGTACTCATTTGGTAAAGAATTACGAATTTGAATTGCATACTTGAAGAAAGGGCATCATTCGGTTCCAAAAATGTTTCTATTCGCATGATTCTTGATGACCGTAAGATGTCCGTTCATACAGCATCGCTGATTATGAAGCAAGTATCAGACACGGCCTACGTTTATTGCAAAATTTCAAGACCCCTTTATGACGGGTAGGGATGTATGATTTCCCATACGCGGAAAGTACACAGCATGAAGCTTTGAACCGCTAAGCGCAAGTGCAGGTTCAGGTTGGGATTTAGAAAGAAGGGGGTGTCCGGACATACAATTCGAAGACAAACAGACATTTTACGGTCATCAAGAATCATACAAACAGAAACATTTTTGGAAACGAATGACACCCTTTCATCAAGTATGCAATTCAAAGACCTACTTGTTTACCAAATGAGTACAAGAATGGGTACTTTTTGCGCATGTTTTCTATGTAATATATTTGAATTTATAGGCGTATCGGAAAGCAACGGGGGGCATTCAAGCGACTTTAATAGGAATTTTTTACCGAATGATTTATGCATACAGCCGGAAAGAATGTCATTCAAAAGCTGACGTCCTGTCGTGATTGACAAATTATGCTTCACGGCAATCCGTATTATAATCCCATCTAAGTAATCCCTACTAATCACAATCACATCTTAGAATTTCTACGAACATTTTAATGAGACAGCTCACCTATTGTTGGGGGGTGACAGACTGCCGTTGTTCCCATCAGACTCCGAAAAATAGGTGATGGGACATTTTATTTTTCATGGCTTGTTGAACCGTTTTGCACAATATTTTTCAACCGAAACTGCCCCCCCACACACGCGCTCAGCACGCAATGCGGGACCGAGATAGAACGTCAGACTACCACCCAAACTTGCTTGCACGGCGGAGCCAGTGCATTTTTTCTCATCTGCTATGTTTGTGAGACGCCCTTATTGATCGTGCGTTCCGCCGCATTCTGCCTCCAGCACGTGAGCAACGTTTGGTCATTCACTCAAAACGTCCTCGCCGTTCTCGTATGTATTTGAATCAATAAGGCATCGAGGATAACTAGGGCACCACAGTTCTGACGGGCCACCAGCATGTGCTGTGCTGGAATGTGTAGGTTTTGAGTTTGAAATGTAATGCCAGTGTGGACACTAGTAGTGAATTCAAGTGTGAACTCGAAACGTCGAACATCCTGTCTCGGTGATCAAGTGTCATTCTCTTAGACAGAAGGAATGCGGATAGCTGGAAACTGCCAGCAACATCCGGGCAGAGGGTGCCATAAAAAGAACGGCCTACAAAGAAGTACTAAGGCAAATCCGCTTACTCCCAGACTCACTGCACCAGCCTTGTCGTTTTTCACCATCGTTGCACAAATCGCGTTGTTTTTTAAACGGAAAGCGCGGGTGATCATGACGACCTATTCACGTTACACTTGTATGAGAAAGGGGTATAGTGGGCCGTGACGTAGTGCATATGGCATGATTCCATGTGAAGTTAAATTAATTCGGCTGAAATTGCGGCCTCGCCGAGTGAGGGACTTTATGTTGGAAGAACAAACGGCAAGTTGTCTGTAATGCAGTTCACATACCATCGTCAAGACTGGTGGTAGTTCCGTTCATGTGTAGGTTACCATCCGAATGCGTGATTTCGTCATTATAAATGGAATTTCGTTAGAGGCGTATGCCAGGAACCACTAATTCATGCACAAGGATGACGCCAGGTCGTCGTTTTTTGCAGTGGCGCATTCAAAGGTTATGCATGATATGCGTTCTCTCATCCTTGGCCATATTGTTCGCCTCACTTGCATACACTCGAAAATGTCCGGCTATATTGGTTGGGACTTGAAGGAAGCAGATACCTTTCGGGATTTGCAAGCGCTAATGGAAGCATTGACCACAATCTGAAACACCAGCTCCTCAGCTATGCCAGCATTGTGGTTGAGTACAGTACGTCGAGTTGGGGGTGGACTGAAAGCCAGATTTAGCAATATACGAAGCCAAAACGATTTCAGGTATCAAAATAAGGGAAGGCATTCACCGGGTGAACGCCTCCTCTTTTTTTGATATGCCACTTGGGAACCGCACTTTCACTCATATTGATTCCATGTATAATCAGATTTTATTCCTTTGTATGGAACATCCTGCGCTCTCGTGAACTTGTGCACATTCAACCATGTACCGGCGATAAATGGGGACGCGGCAGTGAAGAACTGTCTTAGTTGGATTGTTTTATTCCAAACTGGCACTTTTCAGGTTGTTTGCCAAACCAGGCATGCACTTAAGATCTTTTTGGTACTGTAAACCGATACATAAACACCACGGAACTAAAAGCCACCAGATATGTTTTAAATCGCAGGATATGTTTAGTGCATTCGAATTTTTAGGTGTTTCGCAGATAGCTGCTGCCGTATTTACGCGAGAACCTGTTTTGAAATTAATTGTTTCAGGTCCATTAACGGTAATGGCTCGTAAGGTTAGCGAGGTGCGTGATGTCTTCGGTAGCTATTTAAAAACTGGGACGTCTTGCCTTGTTTACATTGCTCACATCGAAAAGGTTGCAGGATGTGGATGTTTGCTTTGGAAGATGAGGAGATTGGGAAAATTATTTCCAGTTTGTGCCTCGACAGTCATAAAACGTTTACCTAAATCCTTAAATATGACCAGACGTAAAGAAGGTTTCTGAAGACCAGTATACTGTCGCGTGTGACGTAATTTGAGATTGTGTATCAAATTACTCATGATGAAACGGTACTTAGGTAATTTCTACCGTTTGACAACAAATTAGAATGTCATGTATATTAAAATTATGGTGTTTCGTGTTGTGTTTAGCCTCCATGAGTCCTTGACTAATGCCGTACACGGAGGTTTCACACTAGACAAGAGCTTAGCTCATATCAGCCACTGCGTCTATCATCATCATCATCATCATCATCATCATCATCATCATCATCATCATCATCATCATCATCATCATCATCATCATCATCATCATCATCATCATCATCATCATCATCATCATCATCATCATCATCATCATCATCATCATCATCATCATCATCATCGCCGCCGCCGCCTGCCAAGTTCGATCGCGTCTCCCGAAATCAGACATGGAAAAAAATATCCTAAAAAACAACGCTCCTTCGGATTTCGCCGTTAAGCAACTTGTTGTGGAACACTGCAATCTTCCAGTTACTCGCTCATCTTTTCGGGCGAACAGCACTAATTCTCATGGTATGGAAGGCGAGCAAAGTATATGTTTAGTGAAGACCGAAGTTCGAATTCTGACGAAAGAACACTTCTCCGACAGTTAAACACATTTTTATAACGCATCTCTCTCTAACTACCCTTAAATGTGCGCATTCGCTCTTTGAAGTTGGTAAACACAAATTGGGTTCAGTGACAAAGCCATCTTTGCCTTACATGCTGTCCTCCTCTGGTCATCGATTGTTTTCTTCAACGGTCTTCATGTATTTCTGGAACCTTTTGCCGTAGTCCGTATTTACTTTGATTTTTTTTGCCTCCGAACCTCTTGCGCGTTTTGCATCAGTCGGGTTGACAGAATCGGGCTTTCAATGCATCTGATTCCGTTGCTCGTTTAATACCGTCGCTACAACATGCGTCCAAGGGCGTAACTTATCCCTGTAGCCTGCTTTTGTTGACTCGTTTCTTTGTGAAACGGTTGTGTGCCAGTGCGCGTCATCGTGGCGGGAGGGCGAAGAAGGAGAACATCCGGCGGCGTGCATGCGAGCAGAAACCTATCACATTTTCTCCTCCATCGGTAGCACTGACCTCCACGAATTAATTTATTTCTTGTTAGGCATTTTTTAGCATTCCACGTTCGTAACATCCTAAATACTTTTCCAGCAGGACTTATTTTTTATTATTATTATTGCTATTACTCCCGCTTTACCACCAACTGTTTGGGGTATGCGAAAAGGGCGAACTGGCTGGCTACTCTTTTATAATCTTTTGCGCTTCCGGTTACTAAATACTGTCCTGTGTCTGTCATGTACGTCTGTCTGTGTTTGGTAGGGACACTGAAGCGCGCGGGGCAGCGGAATGTGGAATGTCTGTCTGATTGAGGGAGCCAGAACTCTGGGCCTCGGGGCGAGGGATGGGGTTCATTTAACTTTCCCTTTACAAGACGCCTGTCTGCAAACTCCGTGTCCCTCCGTGGGTTTTTCTGCCCGTGGTAAAGTTGCTTTTCGCGACTTGACTGTTTGCTTCCCACTACCCGTCCCGTTTCCACTTTATATTTGTGTGTGTGCTTGTATTTCGCTCCCGTCTATACAATGGCATTTGTTTGGAGCCATCGTCTCCGCTTGTGGCCTACCACTGTTTGACTGCGCGTGTGTGTTGTTATTGTCCATCTTTCCTCTTCTGACAGCTGTTTCTCCACCCTGTGTGAGATCACGCTTTTCTTACATCAGCATATATATATATTCCGAAATAAATATTCGTCTTTCCCATTCTTCTCTATTGTGGTCTTCGCTTGGGCTGTTAATACTTTACGGGCAATCTAGCGGTCTCCAACTCTCGTCTAATCACCGTTCCGCTAACTTTGTCTCTTACCTCCTTACTGTTACTTCCCCTTCTATAGTACTTCAAGTTTTTTTACTTTTCTGATGTTTCCCTTTGCTCCATTCTGACTGTCTGTCCTCCGTACCGCTTGGGTTCCTGCTCTCTCGATATATACCGGTGTGCGCTGTCGCTGTGCGACTGCCTGCGAGGGTTCTAGTATGAGCCCCAAGGCATAACAGAACGAGCATGTTCCGCAACCTAAACGGTGTGTGCCCATCTGTCATAGTTGATGTTCCCGATCACAACCGACGGGACAACGGGCCCGTGGCTTAATGGTAGAGTGTCAAACTCCATGACCAAATATCCGGGCTTCAAATCCGAAGTGATCCACACTTGGGGTTGGTTATGACTGGCTTATGACGGCCGATAAGCCAGGAATCACCATCCCGGTCTCCGTTGTCTTTGTCGGTATCATCTCATATATGAGATGACGTTTCACATTCGTACTCAAGCGCATCATCGGAGATAGGTGAGGTGAGAAATACACGGCTCGCTCACTCCTGATAGGGCCATAATTCTTCATTCTCAATGGGCTTCCCCGCATTCGAAAGTGTTGCCTGGTGGCCTCGTATGGCGTGGTAGATGGACGCTACGGTTGATCAAGTTGGCGCCTGATTGCCGCACCTCGATTGTTTCTCTTGCTAGTCTACTTTCGCCTCGGCCGGGCACTTGGGCCCCGATGGTTATTTTCCAGACTGCATGGCGACGTGTGATCGCACATCCCTTCGCTATACGGCTAAAGTGTGCTCATGCATGTCTGTTGTTAGTCGTCTGTTGGTCATGCCGCAGTAGTTGGTCTGACAGTCTGGACAGTTGACACGGTAAATGACGCCTGAGGTGTCTTCAAGGGTAGCCTTCCCTTAGGCTGAATGAATAAGCAGCGGCTATTGGCCTCCGGCCGGCGTCCAATGCCCACGTTGAGTGATCTTAGCATATGCTCTGTGGCTTGGGGGACGTTCCTCTCGTAGGGCAACACACGAAGGAGCTCTGGTTCTTGATCTTGCTTGCCGTCAGTCTTTGCATGCCTTTGGGACAGGCATTTGTTTATGAAACGCGAGTATTCATTGCCAAGGAATGGGTGCCACAGGGGCGCATGCTCTCGTAGCACCTCGGCCTCTGTGCTGCGGTGTGCGTTGGTGTGACGAAAATGTGTCCGGGCGCAATTACGTTAATGCGATAGGTCGTGGTTGATGTTGTGGTGGGGTATTTTTTCCGTGCTTTTAGCATTTCAAAAGACACCGGTCCGGAGGGTTTCTTCTTTCGGCCTTCGTCGAGGAAGAAGGACCGTCCCATCCATTTCTTTCTTTTGAATCGGATTTGCAGGAAGCTGGAGTTTAATTCCCTCCCAATTTCAGCTTAGGATGACAAAGGCGTCCAGATAGCGCGTCCAAAATTCTGGCTTATAGAACTAAAAAGACACGAGTTGCCTTAGTCAGGAAGCCAGAGATCGGGAATCCCATCAGGGTTCCCTGAATTTGCTCATAAATATGGCCGTTAACCGTGAAGTGCGCGCTTAAGCAGTAGTCTACTGGCTCAATCACGTACCTCCTTTAAAAGATTTTTCCTCTTCGTCGCTCGGTCGTTCGAGTAGGTCACTTATGACTCTCATGTCCAATTCTTTAGGGATGGGAGTGTAAGGAGAGATGACGACAAAGGTTGCCATTATCTCATCAGAATCTACCAGACACCAATTTGACCAACCGCAGCTTCCACCTGCCGGCGCAATACGAGGTCGCCAGGCACTACTCACGCACAGAAGGAGACCCAATGAGAAGGGAATGATGGCTCTATCAGGAGTGAGCGAGGAAGACTGATTTAAACCATTTATTTCTCATCTTACCTATCTCCGATGATGCGTTCGAGTACGATTGTGAGTCGTTATATGAATAAGTCATCTCCAGAGCTCGTCTTATCTTCTGCTGCGTATATAAGATCAGATGCGGTATGCATGATATATTTAATGGTAGGGGGCGCTCACCGATCGTTGTTACGGAACTCACTCGTTCCGTTGTGCCTTACGGACTATCTTGAGCGGCGCATGATATAGGCAGAATGGTATTGCCGACAAAGACAAGGGAGACTGGAATGGCCATTTCTGTCTTGTTAGCCGTCGTCAACCAGTCGTAGCTATCCCCGAAGTGTGGAACACCCGAGGCTCGAACTCGCGACCTGTTAGTTAGAAGTCCACGCCTCTAACTACTGGGCCATGAGCCCGTTGCCCTGTCGGGTTTGATCGGGAATATACAATGGTAGGGGGTGCTCGCCGATCGTTCTCTGTCGATCGATCTTTGTCGGCAATGCCATTCTGCCTATATCATGCGCCGCTGTGCGGCTGCTGGTTGGGCTCGAGAGAAAGTCCGTAAGGCACAACCCTACGAGTGAGTTCCGTAAGAACATGCATAAAAATGCTGATTTTTTTCATTCGGCAGAAGGCGTCTTCTTCCAATTTTATCCTCGAAGGAAGGCATAATTCGGTCTTAGCAATGTTTCTAATTGTTAGATTTTTTAGTACCGTGAAATGACCGATCATAAAACGTCATGTCTCGGCATTTACCAATGTGGCTTGTAAAGTTAACAATAGGGCTCGAATCCACTGCTAAATTTTATGAACACCATATGGTCTACTCTTGATACCGTAGAAAAGTGTATCGTTTTCCGCACGCTGACAACATACGGCTTGTAATTTAGAAACCTTGAATACAAGTGTAACGACAGATCGGGTTCAAAATCAATCGGGAATGGGATAAGTTTTTTAAAGCCGAATTATACCCTTCTTTGGCGTGTAAAATTGGAAGAAGACGTCATTTTCTACCGAATGAGCAAAAGAATGAATATTTTTGTGCATTTTTTCCATGAAACATTATTGAATTTTTAAGATCGTCGAAAATTAATGAGAAAAGTGAATACTAGTTAAGCAGCCATTTTTTTTGCAAAGGACAGTTTTCGCATGCATTCGGAAAGAAGTTCGTTCGAAAGCCGGCATCCTGATGTAACTGAGTTATTATATAATTATGCCCTATGACGATTGATCTTAACCCCCTACTTAAGTAATCTTTTCAAGACGAAAACTCATTTCGGAATTTCGGTTGACATTTGATGAGTTAGCCCACCTACTATATATGCAGTCCACAGTCTACTGGCTGTTAAGTGGGCTCCTTCTCTATACCGTTCCCGTAGAGTCAACTACGCGTTGAGTTCTAAGTTGAAAGCGATTTTCTCTCTAAGGGAATTCCGTTTGCATATTTAGTTGACTTTATGGGCCAAAACACGGAGCTGGCACGTTTTCCATGCCTTTGGCAAAGAGGATATTCGTTTGTGTTAAGCGGGTACTCCTGGAGACTGATTTTCACTTTCCTGCAATAACTCAATCCTTACGTTTTGCGTGCTCATGTAGTACGCTCAGCGTTTCGGAGTGAACTGTACATTAAATACTTTGCCAGCAATTGGTCTGTCATCATTCTGAAGAGTATTTTTGGAAATTCCTCTTCCAGCGCCAACGAAATATATAACTTAAACACGAATCCCTCGGAGTCAGCAAAGGTATGCCCTTGCTTTGTATTCACTACTTGACGTCGATTTTTCTAGGTAGCCTGTCTACTTATTGCAAGCGGCGAACCGTTGTCTACTAAATCAGCACAATGTGGTAAAGTACGCCGTTATGGAGAATAAGTTGTATTCCGGAGGCATTTGTCTCCAAACAGATTCAGATGTCGTGGAGTATTTTCAACATTTCCGACACCTGCTGTGTGCTTTTTCATTATTCTTAATTCAACACTTCTGTATATTACTTTTTGTTATATTGTTCCATATCCGAAATGATTCTCATCTGTTCCTAATAATATGCTACTTTTTTTTCGCAGGAGGCATTTTTCGAGTCAAATGAATGACGCTGTCTACCAAAAGGCTGTGCGACCACGTTGGTTCATGACATGCGTTTGTCGGGCTTCAAAGCATCCGCAATTGGCTCCTTAACGTGTCTTTCCCAGCGCCATTGCGTATGCGACCTTGCCCCCTGAGCGAAGCCTGGTATACGTGGAGTCGGAGGCCGGATGGACTGTTTGGCGTCCACGCCCGCTTTTCATCAGACGATGGTGTGCCCGTATGCCACTTGAACACACTACTCGAGGAATGCAACTCAGCCCACTAGGAACCATCCCTCAGCTAATGCTACACATCATTGGACAACACTTGCACTTCCTACAAGATCAGCTGCCACCACTTGTCTCACTCTTAGACATGACCTAACTGTCATACATGCCCATTGTCGCCTGAGAGGACAAATTAGGGCTTTGTATACATTAAATTCCTCATTCTGCTGACTTCTGCCTTTCCTACACTTCAGGGGTTGGTCTGACGATTGTAGCGCTCGAACAACTGTCACAGCTTGGACGCCACAGGCGCACTTAGGTCAAAACGACGCCACCGACGGAATTACTGGATAGGTGGCGGACGTTGAGTTCGGCTGGCCACGTGACTGCGTAGTTTCTGGCGACCATCCACGATATTCTATTTGCATAGGCAAACGCACACCTTTTATCCAACTCTCGGTACATTTTGTAACTGGCGTTTGGGACTATTACCTCGAGAAACGTGGGTTTAGCTCTACCAGCTGAGACGCGGATTCACACTAGGTTGCATCTGCGAGTACTTGAAGCCGCCTGAGAGTGGCGCTCCGTTTTGATCGGGGCTGAGCTGTTAACAGCCACTTTATAGCCACAATCAGTAAAATATCCTACCGATAAGGGCGGCTGGGTTGTTTACTTTTTTTCGTGTTTCCCATCCTTAGTCAGTCCAGCCTCGGACTGTGAAGACCTGGAGTCGGATCTGGGTGTACGGTTGGCCACTTAGCGGTAAGTTCCAACACCTATCTCCCAATCTGCGCCTGGGCTTCTCTCTTCCACAGGGGGCGCTGCGTGGTGCAACTCAAAGTGAGCTGTGTTGCAGTCACGAAAAGCAGACGGTATAGCACTTCGTTCACGCGATTTGCTGCGCGAACATAAGGTGACAACTGCCTAAATTCTTCATTCGTTTGGCCGTCGATTAATGTTGACCCTGTCTACTTAATTACAGCGTCGACAGGGCATACATAAACGCAGGTTCGGGCTAAAGCCATCTACGCAACTCTCAGGGGCTGGGGGTTCGCAGTCTCCCGCGCTTAAAAGCTACGACGTTTTGGCTTCGACGATTCACGTATTCCTAGCATTGTCCTTTCTCCCTTCTATTAGCTGATGCACCTGTGCGGCCCACTCGAATTAAAATGGAGTCCGTTATTTCGTGGAAGGACATTGTTCATGAACTTTCAGGTCGTAATTTGAGTAGGAGGGAAGGAGGTGGAGTAGTAAGATATCAGTGTGTGAGGATACAATTTGAGATGCCGTGCTTGGGGCCTCTCGTGGGCACTGCTGTTTTAGTGCACTCTGCTAGACTACAGGAGTGTCCTAAATTTACCTTCGAGGCCAGGTCTGACCCAATTGTACTCCTGTGTCTGGAAGTCCGGTGTCGTTCAGTTCTCTGAGAGACGGGGAGGGGACAATATTCATGCACTTCTTCGTGGCTGTACACAAAATATTGGTGCTTCAATAACAGGGCGGACCAACTCGTTGAATGACTGAGGTGAGAGGCAAGTAAGTCCACTTGGCCATTAGCTATCCTCGTCGGTGTGTTCCATTTGGTTGAAAAACACGCGCAGTAGAAAGATGTTGATGCCAATGATGATAAGCAGAAAGGTATTAGCACGGAACCAGTCCTAAAAGCAGGAAGAGATCAGATGAGCCTTAATTTAAAAGCGAAGTTTAAACGGACATTTGGAAATGTACGGCAAGTACTGCGCCAAACCTTCTGAATAGTAATTGCCTAAAGGCTTCGGAATTAATTTGACTTGCGCCATTATTTCCCCAGCCTACGACAGAACCAGGAGAGTAGGTGATGCGCTTACTAATCGCGCACAGACAAAAATTCGCGTTGGAAATGTTACTATAAAAACACCTTCTGGGTTTGTGTACGCGGATTGTGTGTATTTGTCAGAAATGTTGGGGAGGTACTCCCGGTTTTAATGTCCGCAGAAGTGGCTACGCCGTAAGCGCGTCGAACCCAACGGGGAGCTACACTAGCGCATGGCATTAACTACAACCGCATCTAGAGTGCCGCACGCCCTAGCGTGGGCAGACGCCATGTTAGTCAGCGCGCCCTATCTCACCACCTGCCAACTGCAATGCTTGGACTGGCCGCTGGTGAATAGAAGAAGAAAAGGAGAGTGAGGCCCGCACCGTAGAGCCTATCCTGATGGCAAGTCTGTCCAGTCCTCACTGCAATAAATCCGACACCGTTGAGTCTTTCGCTACTCAACAAGAGTCGTGGTTTGTAAGACCACGAACAAACTGGACACCTCCGTTTCCCTTTGGAACGAAGTGCGGACGTCTGTGGCAATTCACACTTCTTTGAGATCAGAACCTGTGTGTGACTCGCGATATGCGACGGCTTTGAGTCGCGTCAGCCTCTGCGCTTACCCGAAAGTTTCCGTATGTCATTGAGAAAGATGCATTTTGTGTTTGCAGGCACTTTATTATGGCAACGAAACATGTTGATGATTATTTGCGTGAAATGCCTATTCCATTCAAAACAAGGACTTAATACGGAATTTTAAAGGCAGCTAAATCACAAAAGAATGATATTTTTTGGTAGAAAATGGGAAAACGACCGACTAGCCATCCAGTGAACAGGAGACATGACATGAAGTCAGAATGGTTTCCAGTTCAAACCTAACGATTAGCAGTATTGAAACCCTTGCAGAAGCGTTTTCCAGATCCCAACATAGCTAAAAATAGGACTTTTCAGTAAATTTATTATTTAGTTAACGACAGAAATCCTGTTTAGCGTTACAGTCCGAACTCCGGTCTTCCATGGAAGGACGTTATGCTAGCCTTCTGTACCATAAAAAGTAGTTTCGTCCCATAAAAGCGAGGTGAGAAATCTGGCAAACGGGAAATTTTTACAGTAAAGCTTACGAGGGGGGCGAGGTGTCAGGTCTCGCATAAGTACGGTAGGCCGGTTAACTCATGAAATGTCAACCGAAATTCTGAAATGCTTTATCATTTCGAAATGATTAATTAAGAATTGCTGTAAAACTGATCATTGCGCAGCATACCTCCATAATAATTCATTAACCTCAGGTTGCCGGCTTCTGATCGAACTTCTTTTCGTCTGCATGCACAAACTACACTCTGTAAAAAATGACTACTTAATTAGCATGCAATTTTCTCATTGATCTTAGATGTCCTTAAAAACTCAGTTATATTTTATGGAGAAAATGCATAAAAATATTCATTCTTTTGCTTATTCCATAGAAAATTACGTTTTCTTCCCATTTTTATACTCAAAAGAAGGGAATAATTCGGTTCCAAAAACTTTTCCGATTCCCGAATAATTTTGAACCCGACCTGCCGTTACGATGCATTCAGGGTTTCCAAACTGCAGGCCGTATATTTTCCGCGTACGGAAGACCATACAGTTCTCCACAGTATTAAGAGTAGATCAAATGGGGTTCGTAAAATTTAGCAGTGGATTTGAGCCATATTGTTAATTCTACAAGCCACAATGGTAAATGCAGAGACATGACGTTTTATGAACGACCATCTCACGGTATTAGAAAATCTCACAAATAGAGACTTATTAAAAACCGAATTATACCCTTCTTTTATGTATAAAATCGGACGAAGACGTAATTTTCTACTGAATGAGCAAACGATTGAATATTTTTATGCATCTTCTCCGTAAAATATACTTAAATTGTTAAGTACATCGTAAACCAATGAGAAAAATGCATGTTACTTAAGTAGTCATTTTTTTAAGAAGTGTGGTTTTTGCATGCGGCCGACAAGAAGTTCGCTCGAAAGCAGGCATCCTGAGGTAACTGAATTATTATGAAAGTATCCTGCGCGATGATTAGTTTTACAACCCTTCTTAATTAATCATTTCGAAATGAAAACGCTTTTCGGAATTTTGGTTGGCATTTCATGAGTTAGCCCACCTACTGTATGAACGTCCGAAAGGTCACATGAAAAAGAATTATTTGTGGTGTAATCAGCCATTGTGAGTGGGACCGATTTACATGTTGGATTCGCAGCCTTCCAAGTCTCGACCGTTAACACGCTGTGGTAATTCAAGGTGGTTTTTTATACAGAATATGAAAATTATGCTTGCCGTCTAATCTACATCAACCTCACCTTCTGTCCTGTCACACTGTCCTGTTTAATCCAAACTAACCGGGAATGATGCTGAACAGTGTGGCTGATGGGACGCATGGTCGCTTTCCATAGAACTCACAGGCTCTGATCTCGCAGAAGAAAGAGCTGCTACAGAAGTCCATATTAGGAGGGTGTAAGTACAGTTCGAACTTCGTCCCAAGGTAGAAAAGGGTAGTGTGGTAGGTTATCTGTCTTCCAGGTCCTGCATTTTGCTGCGTTGTGATATGTTCAGAGGCTTCAGATGTATAATAGTACGGTTTGAACTAATTTTCCATTAAGATGAGTTCCATTGTCTCCTGTTTATTTCGTTCACCGGTGGTCTGTCAGTCGCTGACTTTTTCGGGCACAGCGACTGACGTGGCGTCTGCCTTGTATAAGGCACGCTGTACGCTAGATACGGTTGTATAGTAGGTGGGCTAACTTATGAAATGCAAACTGAAATTTCGAAATGCGTTCTCGTTTCGAAAAGATTAATTAAGTAGGGTTGTAAAACTAGTCAGCCTGCAGTATAATTCTATAATGTTTCAGTTTCCTCTGGATGCCGGCCTTTGACTAAAGTTATTTCAGACTGCATACAGGAACTATACTCCGCAAAATACTACTTAAGCTGTATGTAATTTTCTCATTGATTTTCGATGCCCTTGAAAATTCGACTGTATTTCATAGAATACATACATAAAGATATTCATTTTAGGCAGAATGGCATTACCGACAAAGAAAAGGGAAACTGGAATGGCCATGTCTGGCTTATTAGCCGTCGTCGGCCAGTCATACCGAACCTCGAAATGTGGAACATCCGAGAATCGAAATGGCGTGGATTTCTAACTGACAGGTCGCGAGTTCGAGCTTCGGATGTTCGAAAATTCGAGTTTGAGTATGACTGGCTGACAACGGCAAATAAGCCAGAAATTGCCATTCCAGTCTCCCTTGTCTTTGTCGGTAATGCCATGCTGCCTATATATCATGCGCCGCTGTGGGGCTGCTGGTTGGGTTCGATAGGGAGCCCTTAAGGCACAATGGAATGAGTGTGTTCCGTAGGAACTATCGGTGAGCGCCCCCTACCATCATAATATTCATTCTTCTAAACAGAATAGTATTATCGACAAGGCCAAGAGAGACTGGAATAGACATTTCTGGCTTATTGGCCGTCGTCAGCCAGTCATACCCAACCGCGAATCGTCGAACATATGAGACTCGAACTCGCGACCTGTCAGTTATAAATCCACGCAAGATCGAACCTCGAGTGTTTCACATTTCGAGGTTGGGTATGACTGGCTGACGACGGCTAATAATCCAGAAATAGCCATTCCAGTCTCCCTTGTCTTTGTCGGTAATAACATTCTGCCTATATCATGCGCCGCTGTGCGGTTGCTGGTTGGGCTCGAGAAAGAGCCCGTAAGGCACAACGGAACGAGTGAGTTCCGTAAGAAGGATCGGTGAGCGCCCCCTGTCATTCATTAAATTATCAAGGGCGTCGAAAATCAATGAGAAAAATGCATGCTACTTCCGTAGTCATTTTTTGCAGAGCATGGCCCTTGCATGCAGTCGGAAATAGGTTCAGTCGAAGGCCGACCTCCTCAGGTAACTGACTCGTTATAGAATTATTTTGCAGGCTGACTAGTTTTACAACCCTTCTTAATTAATCATTTCGAAATGAAAACGCTTTTCGGAATTTCGGTTGGCATTTCGTGAGTTAGCCCACCTACTGTATGAACGTCCGAAAGGTCACATTAAAAAGAATTAGTTGTGGTGTAATCAGCCACTGTGAGTGGGACCGATTTACATGTTTGGTTCGCAGCCTTCCAAGTCTCGACCGTTAACACGCTGTGGTAATTCAAGGCGGTTTTTTATACAGAATATGAAAATTATTCTTGCCGTCTAATCTACATCAACCAAACCTTCTGTCCTGTCACACTGTCCTGTTTAATCCAAACTAACCGGGAATGATGCTGAACACTGTGGCTGATGTGACGCATAGTCGCTTTCCATAGAATTCAAAGGCTCTGATCTCGCAGAAGAAAGAGCTGCTACAGAAGTCCATATTAGGAGGGTGTAAGTACAGTTCGAACTTCGTCCCAAGGGAGAAAAGGGTAGTGTGGTAGGTTATCTGTCTTCCAGGTCCTGCATTTTGCTGCGTTGTGGTATGTTCAGAGGCGTCAGATGTATAATAGTACGGTTTGAAATAATTTTCCATTTAGATGAGTCCCATTGTCTCCTGTTTATTTCGTTCACCGGTGGCCTGTCAGTCGCTGACGTTTTCGGGCACAGCGATTGACGTGGCGTCTGCCTTGTATAAGGCACACTGTACGCTAGATACGGTTGTACAGTAGGTGGGCTAACTTATGAAATGCCAACTGAAATTTCGAAATGCGTTCTCGTTTCGAAAAGATTAATTAAGTAGGGTTGTAAAACTAGTCAGCCTACAATATAATTCTATAATGTTTCAGTTTCCTCTGAATGCCGGCCTTTAACTGAAGTTATTTCAGACAGCATACAGGAACTATACTCCGCAAAATACTACTTAAGCTGTATGTAATTTTCTCATTGATTTTCGATGCCCTGGAAAATTCGATTGTATTTCATAGAAAACATGCCTAAAAATATTCATTCTAGGCAGAATGGCATTACGGACAAAGACAAGGTAAACTGGAATGGCCATTTCTGGCTTATTAGCCGTCGTCAGTCAGTCATACCCAACCTCGAAATGTGGAACATCCGAGGATCGAACTTGCGTGGATTTCTAACTGACAGGTCGCGAGTTCGAGCTTCGGATGTTCCACACTTCGGGGATGGCTATGACTGGTTGACAACGGCTAATAAGCCAGAAATGGCCATTCCAGTCTCCCTTGTCTTTGTCGGTAATGCCATGCTGCCTATATATCATGCGCCGCTGTGGGGCTGCTGGTTGGGCTCGATAGGGAGCCCTTAAAGCACAACGGAATGAGTGCGTTCCGTAGAAACTATCGGTGAGCGCCACCTACCATCATAATATTCATTCTTTTAAACAGAAAAGTATTATCGACAAAGACAAGGGAGACTGGAATAGACATTTCTGGCTTATTGGCCGTCGTCAGCCAGTCATTCCCAACCGCGAATCGTCGAACATATGAGACTCGAACTCGCGACCTGTCAGTTATAAATCCACGCAAGTTCGAACCTCGGGTGTTTCACATTTCGAGGTTGGGTATGACTGCCTGACGACGGCTAATAAGCCAGAAATAGCCATTCCAGTCTCCCTTGTCTTTGTCGGTAATAACATTCTGCCTATATCATGCGCCGCTGTGCGGTTGCTGGTTGGGCTCGAGAAAGAGCCCGTAAGGCACAACGGAACGAGTGAGTTCCGTAAGAAGGATCGGTGAGCGCCCCCTGTCATTCATTCTTTTACTTGTTCGACAGAAAGTCACGCCTACTTCCGATTGTATAATCGAAAGAAGGATGTAATTCGACTTCAAAAAACGTTTCTAATTCCCGAACAATTGCGAACCAGACCTGCTGTTACACTTGCATTCATGGATTCAAATCTACAAGCCGTATGTTTTCCGTGCGAGGAAAACCACGCGTTTCTCTACGGTATTAGGAGGGGACCATAAGGGTTGTAAAACTACTCATCCAACAACATAATTCTATAACACTTCAGTTACCCCAGGATGCCGGCTTTTGACTGAACTTCCTTCCGGCTGCCTGCAAAAATTACACTCTTTACAAAATGACCACTTATGTAGCATGAATTTTTCTCGTTAATTTTCGATGTCCCTAAAAGTCCAATTATATTTCATGGAAAATATGCATGAAAATATTCATTGCTCTTTCGGTAGACAATTACGGCTTCTTTCAATCTTATACTTGGAGAATGGGTATAGTTCGGTTTTCAAAAACGTTTCTAATTTCCAAATAATTTTGAACCCGCTCTACCGTTATACGTGGATTCAGTGTTTCCAACCTACAAGTCGTATATTTTACGCGTAGAAAAAACCACACATTTCTCTACGGTAATAAAGGGTGACTGTACAGGGTTCATAAAAGTTAGCAGTGAATTTGAACAGCATTGTCAAATTTACATGTCACATTGGTAAATGCAGAGACATGACTTTTTATAAACGGCCACTTCACAGTATTAAAAATCCCACAATAGCAAACTTTTTGTAAACTAATTATGTCCCTTTTCCGAGTATAAATTTGGAAGAAGACGTGATTTGCTACCGAATGCGTAAAAGAATGAATATTTTTATGTATGTTTTCGATGAAATATAATTAAATTATCAAGGGTGTCGAAAATCAATGAGAAAAATGCATGCTACTTCCGTAGTCATTTTTTGCAGAGCATGGCCCTTGCATGCAGTCGGAAATAGGTTCAGTCGAAGGCCGACCTCCTCAGGTAACTGACTCGTTATAGAATTATTTTGCAGGCTGACTAGTTTTACAACCCACCTTAATTAATCTTTTCGAAACGATAACGCATTTCAAAATTTCGGTTGGCATTTCGTGAGTTAGCCCACCTACTTGAGTTAAGTTCTCGCACAGCCACCGCCCGTTAAGGCAAACGCATGCCACGTGCCAATTTAGCAGCACGGCTTTTTCCTATGGCCAGTTGTCCTCTGGTGTATCAAGGCCGCCCTCGAAGTTTGCACTGGGGTTTATATCTGTTGACCAGTCATCTCTTTCTCGTGGCCTATCAGGCTATGCTTGCATGCATAAATACAAATTCGTCGTATGACAGCGATTCTCTGACATTTCAATTAAGTGTATTTATCAAGTCCACAATGTGGGAAGGTTTTGTACCGGGAGGAATCTTTAAATAATATTACTAACCGACTTGTTTACGAACTTCAGCATAGTAGTTTAACATAGCGGGTATTTTGTGGACCTTAAAGCTAGTGAAAAGAGGGGCCACGTGTTAAAACATACAGGAAATAATAATTAATTCTGAACTCGAAGTATATCGCCAATCCATTTATGTGGCTTCAGAAAATTGCGAATTTCTGCAAAACTGTCATATGAGATTTCTTTCTTGCAGTCTCCCTCGCAGCTGCGTTCTTACTTAAAGGCACATCAGAAATAACTGGAAGTGTACACACTACTGCAGCAGTATTTTCTTATGGTAGGACTTAGGCAGTTACCCGGACCATGCAGGAATCGACTAAGTATTATTTCTTCTAGTGATAATTGTGACAATTTCGGGTGGGTAAACTTGTCCGTTTGTAGACAGGTCAAAAAATGCCGAATAAGTCCACCACATTCTTGGCTTTTTGCTAGTGATGGTCTTGGATATCAAACGGTCTCTTAAGGAGTTTTTTGCTTCGTCATCGCCATCATGATTCAAACGTCTGCTGTTAACGAACAGGCTACAAATGTATCCCTATATTCATGTCGAGGATAGCGGTGGGAGGAGTGTTAATAGGGCGCGGTTCAAAGACAAACTTACGAAAAGATCGGAGGCTTGATGGAGCGTGCTGCTGTCAGCGGTATTTTCTCGAATCAGAACATTTGAAGGCTCCGCAGGGTTTTCCGAATTCGACCGTTTGCCTGACAGAAAGTGAGTCAGTGAGGAAATTGAGAAACGGGAATTTTGTCGCGCTGATTCAGGTGGATCCACAGATAGATAATTCTTCTGCTGTTCTTGTTGGTCCTGTGCATTAATCTCCTTAAGTTTGTTTAACAGAAACAGGGGAATACTCAGAGTTAAAACATTATACGCTCATGCACATGCTTCCCAGCCGTAGGGAAGAAAGAAGAAATGATAATAATTGCCGTTTTGCTTGCTGTATTTTTACAGTCATAATTTAATGTGGGATGACGAATGCATGACAGATGATTTCGAGTTACGGTGCTTATCGGATTCCATGAACCGTGGGAATCATGTGTTTGATGATCGTATTAGGAAGAATATCAACTTGAGGGCCATTGAGACTTTCCTCTTTGAATGGTCTTCTGAAGTCGACTTTTTACTTTGAAAACGTAAAACTAAAACATGCCAAATAACTAACTAATGACTTGGACATTTTGCGACCAAAACGTGTTTTTGACTGATGCTTGTGAATGGACTAAATGCGAAAAGTTTGTATGCAAAACTAAGCTGTTATGACTTTTCGCCGACAAACAGTCTCAGACTGCATAAAGCGTAGATTTTTCGAAGTTTTAAATGGTTACAAATGACGTAGACAAATCTGAGATAGAATTATAGGATGTTCATTGATTTGCATTTGCATGGTGACAACCGGATTAACAATGGGCATTTCTGAGTTCGCAGAAAAGATGGGCCTACCTTGCTCATTGAAATTCTTTATCCGGTGGCTGATGAAAAGCATTATTTACGAGAAACCTTATTTAAAATAGCGTTGATCATTCATTAGTGAATTTTTAACCACAGAGAGCTTTCCTGTTCACATCGATTTCTTTCATCTCCCGTTGCATGTGCACGCGGTTACGCAGTAAAAGTTATGAAGTTTTTGTCTCTTCAAGATAATTCACTGCACAGACTCCTGGCAAGTACTCTGAGAGGTGGTCGAAACGTTTACGTGCGGCGGACTCTGTGACTAGTTTTTACTTTATTTGCAACTTCAATCTACGACCAGTTGATAGAATTTTGCAGTGCCGGTAGGCACTGTCCCAAGTCTATCACTCTCACTGTTACTCCCTATTGTCCTTAACATTTGTATGACGGAGAAATCACTTTTATACACAAAATTCCAAGTAACTTACTCATACGTTCCTTTCGACTTTCGTTCTGTTTAGGGGCATCGAGTTAGATGGTACACGATGCAGGGGTGACAGGTGACTCCATGTGCCTCGTGCAGGTAGATGGTGGTTTCTTTTCATGGCAATTAACTGCCAGCCATCTCTCATCTGTGGCTGCCTGAAGCTGTACGCCGTCTAGCGGCCAACCCTGCCCAACCGTATTGACCGGCGGGTAGCCGGTTTTGTGTGTTTCCACACACCGCCTAACTCAGCTTTACTTCCCGTTCCTTTCCTTCCCTCCATTCCACCTTAAAAAAAGACCTACGGCGGGGGGCGACATGCAGTCTTGCAGGCGGCTCAGATTGACTCGCGTCTTCCTCAACCATTGCAAGGGTGTGATCCCATTGTGAAATTCATTGGCCCTCTGGGACGTCTGATCGGCCCTATTTAGGGGAGAACACTGATTACTCCCCCGCAGATGAAGGGGCTAGAAGAAAAGCCCTAGACAAATACTACGAACTCAAGTCTTCCTTCAGCTGAGCGTAGCTTCTGAACGCAAAATACGCTGTAGAAACAATCATCCATATAATGGTAGGGAGCGCTCACCGATCGTTCCTACGGAACTCACACATTCCGTTGTGCCTTACGGGCTCTTTCTCGAGCCCAACCAGCAGCCGCACAGCGGCGCATTATATAGGCAGAATGTTACTACCGAAAAGGACAATGGAGACTGGAATGGTCGCGAGTTCGGGCCTCGGGTGTTCCATACTTCGGGGTGGGGTATGACTAGCTGACGACGGCTAATAAACTTGAAATGGCCATTCCAGTCTCCCTTGTCTTCGTCGGTAATAACATACTGCCTAGATCATGCGCCGCTGTGCGGCTGCTGGTTGGGGTCGAGAGAGACCGTAAAGCACAACGGAATGAGTGAGTTCCGTAGGAACGATCGGTGAGCGCCCCAACCGACAGGGCAACGGGCTCGTGGCCCAGTGCTTAGAGGCGTGGAATTCTAACGAACAGGTCATGAGTTCGAGCCTTGGGTGTACCACAATTCGGGGTGGGGTGTGACTGGCTGACGTCGGCTAATAAGCCAGAAGTGGCCATTCCCGTCTCCCTTGTCTTTGTCGGTAATAACATACCGCCTAATTCATCTCTATCCTCGTTTTCACGTCCAACTCCGCAGGCCGGCATGGAGATTCTTATCAGTGACAGACGGGGAAGTCCGTTCCCTCTTAGACAGTCCGCCCATCAACTGACCGGTAGGAAGGACGGCGCTGGCCACTAGAGAACTTGCTCGCTGCAAGGTGGACATTGCTGCTCTCAACGATACCGATTCTCTTAACAGGGTCGGATGCAGGAGATGCGTGCAAACGGCACCTTCTCCTAGATTGGTCGCCTCAGGGCAGAGCGACGTGATGCTGGTGTTGCCTTTGCCACCCACAACGGCATCGTGGGATGACTGTCCTGTCTGCCGCAGGGCATAGTTGACTGACCCCTGACTCTGTGCTTGCCCGTTTGAAGAACCAAATTTGCCATGCTCATCAGTGCTTACGCCATCACTATGACCAGGTTTGACGAGGTGAAGAATGAGTTCTGTGAGAAGCTACGCAAACTCTTAGCGACTGGGTTAAAGGTGGACAAGCTAATTGTCCTTGATTACTTCAATGCCCGCGTCTGGAAAGACCATGCTGTCTGGAATGGATTGCTAGATCCCCATGCTCTTGGCTGATACAGCAATAACGCCCTCTTCCTTCTGCGAATCTCCACCGTTAACGACATCCCCCTGACCTACACGATAATCTGCCTTTCAACGCGGGAGAAGGCAGCGTGAATACATCCCAACTTGTGCCGGTAGAAGCTGCTGGACTGCGTTCTCGTCCGGAGGTGGGACCGCTAAGACGTACCGATGACTAAAGCAATCTACGATGTTAACGGTTGGACAGAATACCACCTCATTCTCTCCGAGATGTGGCTCGGACCGCAACATCATAGGAGACCACAAGGTAAGTGACAGCCAGGTAAAATAAATGCTGTTCTGCTGAACGTGTTTGATCGATGCTTAGACTTTGGCCCACCGACTGGAAAGGTGCCATTTCCAGAAGATAGCACTTTTGTGAAGATATGATGTCAACTACGGAAGGTCATCCATTCTATCGTCATGAATGTTCTTGGACACGCATGCCGTCAGTATAAGCAGTGATTCAACGACAACGACGGAGCAAGAAATAATCTGCTTTTAGTGAAAGCTAGGCTACACACAGTCCGCATCAGTCGACGGCTCGACGAAAAAGAAGCTGCCTCCTTACATGCTTGACACCAGATGGAACAGCTGTAGTGGGAGAAGTAGAACGCTTTGGTGGATCACACAGCTAAAAAATACAATACCACGCGAACTGCAACGTAATGAAAAACTTCTTTGTCTTCACAGATGCGCTCTATGGCTCCGAACCACTGGGACCGCAGTGCTGCCCTGCTCCGACGGAATGACGCTCCTCACTGAGAAAACGCAGACTCTGAAGCACTGGGTTGAACACATCGGGACCGTCCTCAACCGCCCATCAAGAATCTCCCGGCGACGTCATCAACCAGTTCCTTCGAGCGGAAACCACTACCGAGTTGCACCATCCACCTTCCCTCCCAGAAACATTGAAAGCTGAGAAACAGTTCTTCAAAGGAAAGCGTCGAGCTTCGACTCAATCCAGAGTGAACTCTAAAAGACTGGCGACTCTCTATTGATGGACAAAATTGCATCAATGTTGCAAAAGATGTGACGACATGGACACGTCCCTCAGGCCTTCAAGGACGCCAGAACCGTGCATATATACAAGCTCAAAAGCAACCGTCAACTCTGTGATAATCATACAGAAATCTCGCAGCTTAACCCTGCTGAGAAGGCCATCGGTCGCTTCCTTCTCAACTCTTTCAACAACTTCCTGAAGCACGAACTCCTCCCCAAAAGCCAATGTGGATATCAGAGGAACTGGTACCGCCAACATGGATTTGGCGACCCGGCAACTTCAGAAGAAGTATCGAAAAATGCACACCATCCTCCATGTTACATTTGTGGGTCTGAAAAAAGCCTTTGACACCGTGAAAAGAGGCTCACTCTGGAGGAGCCGTAGTGGACCCTCTCCATGCGCCTGTCACAACGCTGGACCTCTCGCGAGTGCCTGAAAATGCGTACCCGGGCTGTCTGATGTTTGTCCACTCGGCTTCCCCATTGACCAAACAGAGTCGAGGCCGAGTCAGACGTGGCCTGGCTTAAGATGCTTTGACGCATTCTCTGACAGACACTTGGGACGCCGCTCGCCCGGCGTCGGAGGCACATTCCTCTGTCTATCAACTCCCTCCATTCCCGCCCCCAGTTGTTCTGTACAGCTTATAAAATCCGGTCAATTGGTCGCGGTAGTCTCGGTCTCCTTCCTGCTCAGGCTTCGGCGACAGAGCATGTTGAAATTCGGATGTCTAGGGCGCTTCAACGACACAGTCGGACAGGTCAACGGCTGGATGGTTGCGCGTGTCACGGACAAGAGGGCAGTTTCAGAAGCAATCCTAGTGACCAACGGAGTGAAAGGGGATGTGTACTCGCTCCCAAACTCCTCGGCCTCACGTTTTGTGTTCAACTAATTGATGCTTACCGTGAGGAGCTCCTCGGAATCGCCATCTCATATAGGACCAGCTTCTTAATATTCGACGAATGCATGCATCCACAACCACAAATGCGCACGTATTGCCCCGACGGAAGCAGTCCTGCAAAGGGTCATGAACATCTTTGCCTCCGGCTGCGTAAACTTGGAGCCAACCATCAACGCAGACTACACGGTGGTCATGCATTAACCAGCACAAGCGGACGTAAACCGTACCCCAAGGATCAACATGCATTGAACTCGACTAATATGAGTGGACGTATTCGCCTATCTAGACAGCACAGTTTTAAACAACACCAAGATCAACGACGAAGTGGCCTACCCTGTCCTTAAGTCCTGCAGGGCCTTTGGCCAACTGCAGGCCTTGACGCGGAATCAGCAGGTAACTCAAGACGTACAAGATGGCCTGCGGACGGCGACTATCGTTACTCCCGCTCCCACCGCTAGGAGAACATTCCCGACGTCCTGCCACCCATCTCCCCATCAGCAATGTCGGCCGTGCCTCAACCTGTCCCCATTGTGGTTGTACCTACGAATCATGCATCGGTCAGGCCGATCGCCTGCGAATCCACCATACTGAGGCTGTCGAACCAGTCCAAGGAGCACTAATATACTCCACCCGCACTCTGCTCGACTGCCCGTACTACCTACGATCATCCAGTCACTGTATGGACTTAGTCGGCCACGTACAGTGCATGACCGATCTCATACAATGTTGGCCAAAATTCTGGAGTGCGTTTCCCATTAGCAAAGATTACTTAAGTAGGGTTGTTAAACTGATTATCATGCAACATACCCCTGTAACATTTCGGACTCATCAGGATGTCGGCTTTCGAATGCAGTTCTTTCGAATTCCTGCGGTAACCACACTCCGTAAAAAATGACTACTTAATTAGCATGCATTTTCCTATGGATTTTCGATGGTCTTATAAACAAAACATGCACCAAATAGGCTTTTTTGTACATTTTGTGGAAAATCACATTGTCGTCATATTTTGTGATCGAAGGAAGTTTTTATTTAGGTTTTAAAATGTTTCTAAATATGAGATTTTTAAGACCGTGAGATGTCCATGCATGCAAGGCCGCATATGTCCGTTTACTAATGCTCCTCATGAAATGCACAACACAGTCCGGATCCATTGCAAAATTTCATGAACTCTGCGTGGTATCTTTATTAAGACATAGAGGAGTATATGATTTTTCTCACGCGGAAAGCCTGCACTTTGAAAACGGAAATTTTTAAACGCTGATGCCATGGCAGATCAGGCTGAAAATTATTCGGGAATTGGGAAACTTTTTTAAAACCTAAATATACAATTTCTTCGGGCATGAAATATGAAGGCAATGTGATTTCCTACCAAATGTGCCAAAGAAAGCACATTTTTGTACATGTGCTCTACAAAATATGTTTGAATTTTTAAGACCATCGAAAATCAATAGAAAAAATGCATGCTACTTAAGGCGTCATTTTTTGCGGAGTGTGGTTTCTACAGGAGGTCAAAAAGAAGTGCATTCGAAAGCCGACATCCTGATGAGTCCGAAATGTTATAGGGTTATGCTGCACGATGATCAGTATAACAACCCTACTTAAGCAATCGTTCCTAATCGGAAACGCATTCCAGAATTTTGGCCAACATTTCATGACATCGGTCACGTACTGTACATCTCCATGGCAGCCTGCGCTAAAACACTGCAGAGCAAACCCCATCCACCCGTCTTGCCCGACCAATCCATACACCACAAACACAAATGCGCCCCAAATCACCCGCAACAGGTGCAAAATAGACATCTCTGATATAATCGGAAAGAATGTTTTTAGGGAAACGTTGTGCCCATTTGCGCAAGATGCGGCACAAGTAGTCGTTCTCCTGCAGCTCTGTCGGTCACCTTTTCCCACTTCCGGATGTCAGATGACTGACCACCTAGGATAGCAGGCTGGTGCATTGGAGAGAGAAGAGAGAATGAAGTCGGCTCTATGGATTTTTCTCCAAAGCACTCCAACGCATCCCTCACCATAAAAGTTTGTGACACGTTCTAAAATTATGGTGATGAGCTAAACCTCATGACTTGCGGGGTTGCCAAATGGTGGGGTAACTCGCCCCTCTCAGGAAAGACGTTTTCTTAATGTGGCTTTTGAAGCGCTCGATCTCAGATGGGATCTGAGTCTTCCCCTTGTTTCTACAATAGTCTGAGCCATCGTGCGCGGATAAAAACGTGCACGGCATGCGCACACGAATTGTTTAGCTACAGTGTGTGACCGATCTCATAAAATGTTGGCCGAAATTCTGAAATTCGTTTTTGACTAGGAGGGATTACCTAGGTGGTGTTGTAATATTGATTAGCGTGCGGCATAATCCTATAGCATTTTGGACTCGTCAAGATGTCGGCTTTTGGATGCACCCCCTCTTAACCTCCTGTAGGAACCGTACTCGGTACAAAAATGACTACCTAAGTAGCATGCACATTTCCTAAGGATTTTCGATGGTCTTATATGTACAAATATATTTTATAAGAAACGTTCACAAACTAAGCTTTCTTTTATTCATTTGGTAGAACATCACATTGTCTTGATATTTTATATCCCAAGAAAATGCATATTTGGGTTTTAAAAAGTTTTCCAAATCCCGAATATTTTGAGCCTGATCTGCCATTACGTCAGTGTTCAGCGATCTCAGTCAACAAGGTGCATGCTTTCCGCTTAAGGAAAATAATATATTCCTCTATGCCTTTAAGAAGATACCACATAGAGTTCATGAAATTTCGCGATGGATCCGAACTGTGCTGTACGTTTCATGAGCGGCAGAGGTAATGGGACATGTGCGGTCCAGTATACATGGACCATCGCACGATCTTAAAACTGTCACAATTAGAAACTTTATTAAAACCGAAATATGCACTTTCTTCGTGCATAAAATGCAAAACCAATATTATTTTCTACCAAACGAATAAAAGAAAGCTTATTTTGTGAACGTTTTCTATAAAATATATTTGCATTTATGAGCCCATCGAAAATCCTTAGGAAAAGTGCATGCTACTTAGATAGTCATTTTTGTACCGAGTGCGGTTTCTGCAGGAGGTCAAGAGGGAGTGCATCCAAAAGCCGACATCCTGACGAGTCCGAAATGCTATAGGATTATGCCGCACGCTAATCAATATTACAACACCACCTAGGTAATCCTTCCTAATCAAAAACGAATTTCAGAATTTCGGCCAAAATTTCATGAGATTGGGCACACACTGCGCTACTACGCCCGATCCCGTCTCCGGCCGTCCTGACTCTGTCTTGCCACCACTCCGCGACGTATTATGGAGGACAGAGTGCGGCGGATGCTTGCAAGTCTGTTATCACTGTAAGCTACCTCATGTACAAGTCACAGTCCCCCGCCCATCATAGTGCGAGGCACACGACAGATATTGTTGTGTGCTACAGTCGAACTGTCATTCAGTAGAACTCGTCACCTGGACTCTGTGATTCCATAGCTGTTTTTTGTGAAGAATTTTACAGAAATTTGATTACGTCCAATGAAAACCCATCAGTCGCCCACGGACTTCCATAAGACGCGAAGTTGCAAATGACTGACGGTCTTTTGAAAAGACTCTATTCACCTAGCAGGCGGATCTTTGTCACGGAGTAGCAGGACAATGAATAATGATCAATGAACATCAACCTCAGCATTAATGGCGTGTGCGGGGGACAAAGCAGGCCGACGGCTATGGGATTCGTGGACCTCTTGTGATATCCTCTAAACCTTATGCTTATTTGCGTCCGGCCTATCGTGCCTTCATCCCTCACCAGTAAATGTTATGATGCCGTTATTACCGAAAGATGCATACGGCTGCCAATCGCTAAAAACCATAATATATATATATATTTTAAATAGTCTCTGAGGTCGGATTTCCGCTCGTAACTTGAAGCTTAGTCTATGGTGCTGACAGGATTGGTGATCGGCCGGTCTCTTACTTTTTACCCTAGGTCCGTATTTATACTCACAAAATTAAAGTGGAGATTACAAATTAGTTTGTTCGAGCCTATCGTCTACGTGCTTATATGCCCATATGCAATGAATTACCTCCTTTTTTGTCCACGACCACTGCGGAACTCGGAAGGAGAAGACAAAACCTTCACTAGGAGGCTGTAACTCCGTAACTGCCTCCAACAGAGGAGCTGCGGTCAGGTCTATACCGCCACGCTGCATTCCGGGCTCCTCGGGGATAATGGGAGTTTCGGGAGGTTGCGGAGGCTGACTTTGGCGTTGGTTCACTTTGCTGTTCACTGGTTCAGGCGACTCAGTAGATGCGTAGTAGTCGAAGTGGTTAGTGAGAAGGGTGGGGTTCGCCAGCAACTTGATCAAAGGAAAGGCTGGAATCTCATACTGATTCCTGACCTCAGCCACTAAGAGATAAAAAGAGCAAAAGCTCAGTTTCGGGAAGGCTAAGTAGATTATGCGCAGCGCTTCACTTTCATTCATCATTTTTACACTGGAAAATGCAATGAGATTTCGATTTCAGGTTTGATCTGTAGACCAAAAGACATATACCTATTTACACCGCTGCATAGCATGTCAAATCGTTTCACTGAACTAGCACAAACTTGACATGTACAACTTCTAGTGAGACCACCGCTAATCCAGCCTTACTTTAAGGTATGCCTGTTTAATTTAATGTGTACTTGAGTTTGATTATACCGTGATGGACTCAGGAGGCATCCGTCTTAATTCATATGAATTTTTATGATTAAAAGGCAAAGCAATAATTTTTTATCCAGGAAGGTATGAAGGGTCACCACAAGAGTCTGCTCTTGAGGAGACGATAATCCATTCAGAGTTCGCGGAGCAAAAACCTTTGGCATCGGATCTTAGGTGCGCCTATAGAAAGACCGAAGCTCCTTTATCCTTTAAATCACCCTGAGCAGCATAAATCGCCTTACGTGGCGAACAAGCTTCTTAGATGCACCAAAGTCTTTGAATCATAAATGAAACAAGACGAGCTTCTACGAAAGTTGGATACCTCACTGGTAGTATGCTTGAATCTAGGAAACGGTTTGCATAGATTATTTTCTACCAAAAATGTGCAAATAGAAATTTGTAGGAGGGGAGTCAGGGGAATTTTATCTGCGGCAAACACGTATGCTTTTTCTGTTTCCCAAACCAATCCCGGGTTTGCCTGTCATACCTGTGAATACCTACACGCCATCCAGTTCCTCTTCCTATCTTGTCTTTCTGCGTAACCACAGCCCGAATCTTCCGAAATTAAAAGTTACCTGCCGATGGCACGAAAAGGCGCGTAATTATCTGGGTTGATAAGCCTCTTAACGAGGATTAGATATGCACGTCCACTGAGTAAATAGAGCCCATAGACTCCTGTAATACAAAAAAGGATGTTGCTCTTAATTTTATCGGGAGGACAGGTGGACGCTGCAATTAACGGAGTCTACGAGAGACATTGGAAAAACTCGAGGTTCTGCCGCAGATTTGTTTAAATACTGCAACGAGATATCGAAACAGATCGTGCAATTCAAAATGTACGAAGTAGAGGCGGAAAACAGGTAGTCCAAGCTTGGTGGTGAAAGATGGCCGGATTAGGTGAGAAGGTATGCGGCGTGCAAAGTCAGCCCTAACCTAAACCCTAAAGCCAATCTTAAACTCAATTCTGACCCTAAACCTGACCGTAACCTCGGACATAAACGTAATTGTTTTCTAAAGCTTAACCGGAAACGGAACTTAAATCAGATTAGCAGGCCTGTTAATGCAGTAAAATTGAGGGTTTACGTATTCGAGCGTGGCCGGCACCTCGTCCTTTGCCCACGCCACACTTGACAGCATCGTGGCTTCCGAAAGTGAAAGAAGGCGGCAATCGCCAATACAAAAACTGCGTCATGCAGTGGTAGAATATCAACAAGACACGTATCAGTGCTTTTAACTACCACCAGTGCTGCTAGCATAGTATCCTGTAACCCCAATATTGTCATCTTGGCCTTAGTGTTGTCACTACCATCAGTACTAGAATTAATGGTGTTGAAGTTAACATACCCAAAATGAATTGGCTTACTATTTGGAACGTCGACGTAGGAAGAGCCATCAGAATTTTCGTCATCCTCATCCTCGTCGAACCTACCGCTATCCCCTGACATAAAGCCAGGCTCGGGAACCCGAAGGTAGATGTTTCCGTCTGGAGAACTGCTGGCCTGCGGAGTGGCTGTCTTTGGTGTTTCCTGCGCCGAGCGAATCCAATCAGAGTTAATTTCCGCCTGACCGTCTGGCTGACTCCTGCACTCTTCCGGTGTCGGTGTGTTCTTACGAACAGGGAAATTGAAAGCAGGTCACTATGTTGTCCTCGGTGTAATAACTGCCTGACTTATAAGTATATTGTTGCGGAAAGATGTGGTTGTGAGCAAGACGGGTTCGTTTAAATTCCAAACTTCAGTCAAAAACGGTGAGTTAGAACGCAGTTCTGCGAATTTGGGACGTGGCATCATATTTCAATTTAACAGCTAACTTTGTCAGCTTTTAAACTATGCCCGTCCTAGGCGCTTGTTGAGTGTTTATAGCTTCAAAGCAATGGAGATTCATATTTCGACTTTTCAAGCCATTTTTGGATTCACACATATGTGATAAACTTTTGTAGAAGCTTGGGAGTATCATTCCAATGTCTGGTAGATCACATCATTTGAGAGTTAAAGGGTTACGAAGTCTATTAAGTATTGTGGTTTTTACTGTCTAAAGCTTAGCTTAGCGCATGTTGGGAAACTTCAGTCAGTTTTGAAACTACGCCGGACTCTTTCAAATAAGAACTTCGCAATTCGATGGGGGCGAGCTACTTTAGGCGATGTTTTGCAGTCTTCCGATTTTTCGATCCGATAACGCCAAGCAGTACATGTTGATTGCATATTTTAGTTTATTTCAGAGTAAACGCGCCCCATTCTCATCCTTTTCTTTCTCTTCTAGGTGTAATTACTTTGGGAGCTAGGGTAATCTACTCACTTCACCGAAACAACATAGAGGATTTTTGTACGTGCCCTCGGCTTAACGCCTAAAGATGCTACCTGTACGACGGCGGTATCGTGATCATCCTCGCTTTCTGGGCAAAGAACAGGCAGTTTGGACAAATTATATTACCTAATCGCGAATCCTCCTCGCAGTATGATAGCGTAGAATGTAGTCTTGTGCTTCGGGCACATAGTAAAATATTATAAGATATATACTGCAAACATCGATAATTACAACTAGCGTAGAGGCGTAGCATTTAAACGATTGCAAGATCATAAACTGTTTACTATAGGCTTTTCACTTAGGACGAACAAGTGACCTAGATATTGGAAAAAAAATTAGAGAATATATGTCTATAATCGAGAATTACCACCGACGAAGACTAGACAGACATGGGCCACAAGTTTCATTAGGTAAACCATTTGCGATAATACACTTATCTGGTTCTTTAAACTCTGTATGTATTATCGCATTTGCCTGATGTCTAGATCAGTAATGACGTACCAAGATTTGATTTCCCCTAACTAGACTAACTTAAAAGTTACAATAAATATTTCAGGTTATTGTGCGGCTAAAGTTCGCATATTTTCGATAATTCAGCTAAAGGTCGTGCAGTATTATACAGTTATCGTTTGCTGACGGATAAGTTTGGTATAATTGCTGAGTATATCCGCGTGCTTTTGTTTATTTTGTTTCCGATTTAAACACATTGCCGTAAGGGCTTCTGATTATAGCTTTCCGGACCGAACTTTCCTATGCCTTTGCAAGCTGACGCGCTTTCTAAAGTCCCATTGTTCAATCTGAGGAGTGCTTACTTGTGCCAGTCCCAAAGTCTGGCGTAATGCAAAATACAATCCGATCATTCGCCTTCTGGTATTTCTCATTGGTAATGCCGAGTCTCCTAAATGTGCTAAGGAAATTGTCACCGGCCACCTCCCAAGTGATGATATCCGTTTTTAACCTACAAAGCGTGGATACTTGAGCATTCATCAACATGTCCGTTGCATAATGATCTTCTGGATAACTAGGATTTAGTTCAGTGCATTTATCGGTTACGGTTACTTTTCGGTTACTTTCTAGTTAAGTCCATTCTCCCGGCTTCTTGCCATTACCTTTGTTACGTAATCAACCCTTGTTCCGACATGCTGAAGCAAGTGTTGCCGGAAGTTGCAGACTACTTTACTATTTTTTACATTCACTTTCCTACTTCATATATCAGACCTTAATATAAGATGTCGTTAAAGCCGATATACATCGGGTGAAGTATGCATAAATATCTTTGGACCGAAAATGAAAGGATCTATCTTGAGAAATCTGCTTCATTTTCACTAATTTATTTCTACAGAATCTAACCAGGTTTAATGTTACTTCCAATTTTGGATATAATAGAATCGTAATCAATTTTTAACACATAAGAAATAATCGTTTTGATTGAAAAAGCCTGAAAACTAAGGAGTTTATGAGGAATTGGCAGAGTTATTTATGTAGCCTTGTACAATGGGCATCTACACGTCCTTCTTAAGTACACCAAACATGAAACACATCGTGATATTTTATAACACCGTGAGAATTCTTCAAAGATGGTAGAAATGTAGCTAATATAACGGAAAATCTTTAAGCAATCGGAGACCAGTCCACATGCATCCACCAAAATCATAACTAATAATGGACGACCTTCAATCGTATAAAAATTCAGAGTAAGTGTTTTAAATACTATTTCGCTTGTTGCGATTAACAATTTTTAAAAAAGTGAGGAGACGCTGAAAAAGGCAGAAAAATGCATCCAATGAGTAAACTCAACTTGTGGAAGTGCATAAAGTCTTTCCATTTAAATGACTGAGTAAATAAAACGGCGTAGGCACAGGTGAGATTAAAAAAAGTTCTTCACCTTCACTTACGGGGTGGATCCCCCAAACATTAGTATTATGTGAAATATGGCACACGGTCAAGTGTTTAATGCCTGATAACAGGTTTAAAAAACTTTCGCGAAAGTTCAATGTAATTTTTCCGATTTTTAATTATTGGAGATATGATTGATTAAAACAGAGAGGCCTTCGCTCGATTTCGTCTGGAATAACGCTACAGGTATTAAATTCGTTGCACGGTCACAGGTTTTCAGATCAATCACTGAATAATAAATTCGAATACAATTAGCGGACGTAATCGTATATACCAAGGTAGGTGTTTTTCAGTAAATGTACTGTGAATGCACGACGACAGTGGAGTCCGCTGGGTTTTTGAGAAAACTGTGTATATGGCATGTTGTCTGGCCAGATTCCGAACGGAATGTGCTCTGATCATATCTAAGAGATGCAGGTTTTAGAGAAAATTTTGAAACAACAATTCGTATTTGGCGAATATTTGTCGTTTGTGGATGCAATTTTTCACATACTAGACTGACGAGGCGAAACTTGTGCATCTTTTTCGGGAGATGTTAACAAATTCTCGTAAACTTCAAAACTCACCGGAACAATACACACTAGCTGAGAAGTGGATGTCAATCAAGTAATATTTATTCAGGTGATTAGAACGGTGTCAAAGTGCGACCCAGAATGTCTTTCTACATCAGGTAAGCTCCGTCCTTGTAACCGATACAGTATTCTATTCCAACAGCAATCTATTCCATAGCCAAAAATTTCGTTTGGGGTCCCATGCATTTCGAGGGTTACTGTAGATGTGATTTTCAGCCTCAATCAGCCTTCCAGTCAAACTGCCATCAAAAACTTTGCATCGATAACAGACTTTTGGCTGTGGATGGAGACGTCTTGTTGGGAAGAAAAAACGTCAATATCAAGGACCGTATGCACACATATTTGTCTGGTATTTTAAGCTCGTGCCTGACTACAGCATGGCAGACGTAAAAAACGGAATTATATAACGTTATCTATATCGCCATGCGGTGATACCACCTGTTTACATAGTCAAGGTCGATCATGTACGACCAGTCGGATAGAGTGCAACATATTATATATGCCCCCCCCCAAAACGGGCCACGCGGTAAATGCACTGGATCCCTACAAGGGCCATATCGGATTCTTGCAAGCGTTATCGGAATGCGCACCATAACAGATGCCAACATTTCGGGGTTGCGGTGACAAACCCAGTTGCCGGCAGCCGTCGAGCACATTGGGATTCCTGCCGCTCCCACTCATTTTTGTTGGTTAAAATCCTGATCATTTACTGTAGCAGCGTATGTGGAGTGGATTGCCAAGATGGAGGCTCGATCGCGCCATCCGCCTGTGCTCATCTCCGGTCTTCTTGACTTTGGCTTGACACCTGCCTAGGTGGGGGAGGGGGAGATTGTGCGGTAGTTGCAGCATAAGTCTACATCCTGATAAATTAATTCACGCGCATGTCGCCGTGCCTGCTGTCACTTTGCCGAGGAGCACACGATAGACAGAAACGAGGTCGAACTGTCGGGAGGCGGGTCGATATGCCAGTTTATGGAGTTGCTACCACAACTTCAGGCCTCAGGCAACTTTCGATTTGTGGGCCACATATTCACCACACACGCATATTGGTAACGACGCGGACTGGTACCGAGAGAGGTTGAGAAATGCTGGGGTCCAGAATTCTGATAGCATATAGATTTTTGGCGCACCCATCATTCTTCGTATTCGCGCCTGGCGGACAGCGGGACAATACAAGAGCCGCTCATTTCTTACTACTTTTTTCATTGCCCCTGATGCAAGGGCCTGAGAGCTGAAACAAGTGCTGAAATGCAGCATATTAGTGACAAATTCGGCACACATTTGCATGTTTTTGCTTGCTGTTAACCAGTCGTGTTGCAACCAATTGGACGACTGGGGAGGGTCGGATATGTACATCTGTCGAGAAGATGAGGCGCAGGGGCTCCTTTAGTACGAGGAGTATATTAGTATCAGTTTTATCCGTACGAAAAATGGACGCGACAATCAACGGAACCTGCCGAAGACATTAAGGAACCTCGAATTTCTACCATGTATTTGTTTATTACCATAATAGTGCGCCGAATAAGCCCGTGGAATTAAGAAGACATTAATTAAAGACGCGTAAGCCGAAGGAAAATAGATAATGCAAGGTTATTGATTAAAAAAGGTTGGATTGGATAAGACGGTATGCGGCAGGCGAACTTAACTCTAACGCTAACCTTTTGCCTAAGTCTAACCTTAAACCGGACGCTAAACTTAACCCTAAAGCTGACTGCTTTAATGACCTTAGCCTTTTATAAAATAACCACAAAAATCAAATAAATGCGAACGCTAAAATAGTGAAAAGATGCGTCTATATATTCAAGTGTCACCCACATAATTATTTAGAAAAGAAAGGCGAATTTCTTGCGAGTACCAGCTTATGAGAATTAAAATAATTCTGGAGTGGGTGCGGTCCAACATTAGGCGGAAGCTGGAGGGAATTTGATATTTTCGTGCGACAAATAATTTCGGAAAAAGTCTTATTACTGTCTGTGTGGAAGTCACATTATCTTATGTTTCGGAAACATGGACCTGCCAATGACGGTGGAGTGCGACGGGCAAATGAGATACGAGTCAGTTTAATATTTATATCAGACTGACTGCATACGAATGGCACAAATCTGCACCTTTAATCAAGAAGGATAAACAGCACAGACTTGCCTACCTCCCCTTGCATCTGTTGCTGTTGTTCTTTTAGTAGCCTTTGCTGTTGCATGCGTTGGAGCTTTTTCTGTTGCTCTTGCATCTTCGCCAGGCGCGCCCGTCGTTGTTCTCTCAGGGAGCCCGCCCGTGAGATAGGCTTCTTGTCGTTTTTCTGATTCGCATTGATCTGGAAACTGAACTTTGGTGGCAAGGTGAGGTCTTCCTGAGGCTGCAGTTCTTCCTCCTCCGAGTCTTCGTCACCTGTGCGCGTCAGACCGCGGATCACTCCTGCAATCACGTCCTTCGCGGACTGCAGAGCTGCTTCAAAAGTAGGGCTGCCGCGCCGGCTGACGCGCATCATTCTCACGATGTCCTCCAGGTACTTGACACCTGGACGACGGGAAGACGTGTTAGTTACCCTTCCGAATTATCTAGGTCAGTTAGTTGTCTAAAGTACACTACAAGTTGGCGCGATCGGTGAATCATCTTCGGCTGATGGCGCACCCTAGACTCGAGAACCATCGTCGACAGCATGGTGACTAATAATGCATGAGTGAAACGCAGTTAGATGCATTTTATTATGAGGGAGGCACTTTTCTTAGTATACGCGGCGTTCACATGTTCTCAACAAGGTCACATTTCTGACCAGTTGTAATTTTCTGTCAGTGGCGGAGCTATACTCTGGGAACTCTAGGTCGCTTCCCCCCCCCAAACGTCTATATAACTGGTCAGTAACGATAAAGAAACCTGTGTGTTCAGAAGAAGAAGATGCAATAGCTGGAATTGGAAGTTTCATGGTCTGACTTTACGGATTCCTATTCGAACCCGGGATTAGAGGCGGTGGCACATGAGGGAAAAGGAGACAAAAGGAGAGCAGTATTCATAAGACGGAATGGCCTTGCAACCACACGCCTAGCATAATTAACAGCACCCGCCTCCCTCTCCGGAGACGTATTTCATTCGACGATTGCTTGTTAGTTCGCACCCAAGTCATTAATGTACATGGTTGCGCCCCCTTTGCTGATCCTTGGGGTGTTAATTACTCAACCATTTGGCACGCTGTCGCTGGAATTGACGATCGCCTGCATTCTCCCGGGTTGCTAATTACTGTGTCCAGGCCGTCCCAGCACAGAATATGTAGGCGGGAGATCATTGCGCTTGTTAATTGGCTGTGGGTCCGAGAACCATGGCAGAAGCAGCTCGCGGCTTATACGCTTGTCACGTCTTGACAACCGAGCGATACACCAATTTTGGGAGTTGCGCCTCGCTAAATATGAGGTGTACTTTAGTCCGCTGTTTGAAAGAGAAAGGTGAGAAGGATTCACCCGGCTAATTGCACCGAGAGAGCCTTAAATTGTCGAAGGTCTTTGCCAGAATGGGGACACAGATCGATTTATGATTAAAACATGACCGCGATGAGCTGGCGTTTGCCCAAAAGAATAAGAGAGACCTTATAGCATGGTTAGGAAAGGGTCGAATAAAGAGCGTTAACAGTTCTATTCTCTGGCGCATGGTTGACCCAGACCACCGAGAGGCCTCCCGATTTGAAGATCTCGTTAAGCTACCCAAAACAACAAGGATAGCGTCACAGGCTGCTAAAATCAGATTACGCAAACCAGTCCTCTGCGCACAGCAGTTGCTATGACCCAAAGCCACCCGGTGCTCATTATCCCCTGACGCTGACTGGAACTCTGGTGTCCCACTCTCGTTCTCCAAACCCGAGCTACAGCATAATTATCTCTTTACCCACATCTTTTCTTTCATTACTTCAATAACAAGGTAAAAGTAGAGGTCTGAAGAGGATTTATCGAAAGCATGCGTGTGTTGGCCAATTTTTTTCAAAAAATTCATGCATCCAACCTAACGAATACAAACTAGAGTAGCCCAATTTTATTAGGTCAACCATGTTATGCTGCCATTCTATCTGGAAATCAACTAGCCACTTAGGATACTATGTCTGGAATAAGTAGCCTTTTCTCTATACTCGGAACTCCTTGAGGAATGTCTGCAGTTAATGTCCGTTATCGGTAAGGGGAAGGAAAACCGTAGTATTCATTTCAGGCTAAAAGATGGAAGGGAACGTGCGTCCTTTCTCCTGCACGCAAATTACGCAGGGGAAAATGTCAATTCTTTAATAAACGTCCTCTATAAAAAATGATATACCCTCCATGCTAAATATAATCTAAAAGGAAGAACAGCAGAATGTATGAACCACCTCTTTTTCGGTTTCAATCCGATATTTTACTTCAAAACTGATACTACAGGCAGTTCGCATAGGGACTTTCTCTTAAAGTAATTATATGGATTTTTAAGAGGTGAATAATCCTTGATTGGGTTCTTCTCATTGTCTCTAGAAATATGCAACAGAAGCTGATGTTTGAGTACTATTGTCTCACGATTCCCGCCGCCATGCTTGGAATACAATGTGAAGTGACACTGCTAAGGGTTTTTGCTGTGATTCCCTGACGCAAATGCTTCCATTTAAGTGCACTTTTACAAGTTAAGCTGAACCTATTCTCTTGAAGTTTTCCAGTGGCCTGTAGCTTCAAAGGTTTGCTTCCATTTTCACAAAGATTTCCGCTTGTGCTATTACCGCCATATGTCCACTACTGCACCAGTGGCCCACTGTTGCTCAGAACTTTCCGTTGGTTAAAGTACTCTGCTTATTAGCGATCTTTATTCCTCTCACCGCAGCAGCCAGTTAAATGACACTTGCTGTTGTTAGCTGAAATTCTGAAATGTGTTTTCCATCAAGAAAGAGTACTTGGGCGCGGTTGTAATTATTATTATCATGCGGCATAATCTTATAACATTTCGGACTTGGCAGGATGTCAGCTTTTGAATACACTACTTTTCAGTCTCCTGTGGAAACGGTATTCGGCAAAAATGACTACTTGTGCAGCACGCATTTTTCCCATTGATTTTCGATGGTCTTGCAAATTCAAATATATCTTATAAAAACCACAAACAAAAATATGCTTTCTTTCAGTCAATTAATAGAGAATCACGACTTTCTCATATTGTAAACTCAAGGAAGGAGTATAATTAGGTTTTAACAAAGTTTCTAATTATGAGACTTTTTAAGACCGTGAAATGTCCATTCACATAGCATCGTACCTGGCCGTTTACCACTGCTCCTCATGAAATGTGCAAAATAATCCGCATAAATTGCAAAATTTCATGGACTCTGCATGCTACCTTTATAATGGCAAAGAAGAATATGTGATTTTCTTTGCGCGAAACGCAGGCAAATTGCAAACTAAAATCACTAAACGCCAATGCAACGAATTTACTGAAAGAAAGCAAATTCATGTATTTGAATTTGCAAGGCCATCGAAAATCAATTGGAAAAATGCAAGCCAAATAATTAGTCATTTTTACACAGTACGGTTTCTAGAGTAGATTGAAAAGCAGTGTATTCAAAAGCTGACATCCTGCCAAGTCCGAAATGTTATAAGATTATGCTGTAAGATAATAAGTATTGCAACCGCGCCCAGGTAATCTTTGTTAATGGAAAACACATTTCAGAATTTCACCCAACATTTCATGAGATCGATCACTCACTCTATGTCTTGGGTGCAAGGTGCGTAGTTCAGGCCTATTAAAGGCAGTTACTATTTTGCAGAAAATTTACAATAAACATGACCGGTTATCCCTGTATCTAGAAAGCATCCCCTGACCAGGAAGGTTAGCTATTAAAAAGTAGTACACGAAGGATGGACCCCAAATTTTCCGTAATTCATAGTTAACATCAGCTTCCTACAACTTCTTTCCAGTAAGAGAAAACTTGCCTGGTTGCTCAAAATCTGGATACATTTCGCGAACAAGCTCCCGGGCTTCCAGTGAATATTCACTTGCTGTAGCTGCTGCGGCCTTCGCCTTCTCCACGTAGTCCAATATAGTGCTACTCACTCTGAAGAATGAGAGGGGAAACGGGTGAAATACGTAGGTCACGGATCAATGTAAAGGGATTAAACCGTGGAAAATTGCATTAGTCTCACCCCGTGAAAATGCTGTCGTTCTTGCTGAGACATGCCACGGCTGCGTGATCGAACTAATCCGATTTTTTTACCTGTTATTCACTCCTTTTTATCATCGTCAATGATCATTCATCTGGCTCAGAATTCAAAAGACCCACTGTTTGATCAGATAGTGGTGTGGTCTTCGCGAGTTCCTGATGAACGCCAACAAACAACTCTTGTCGGTGTAAACTATTAGCTATTTTCATTCAAGTGAGTCACTTTTCTCAACTCTGTCACTCCAAATAAACGTATTCTTTATTGGGTAGCAATGGTTTGTCCCTTTAGGATCATAAGTCTTCCTCCTTTAGCAACGCTTCCTTATCCATGAGTGTGGATTCATGTGACGCACTACCATACTTCGAGGTTAACGGTTATCATAAGGGAAGGGCGTTGTCACAGACAACCCCCAAAGGCTCAAACCTCGACACCCTGGTTACAATATTAACATTAAACGGGAGAAGATTCGACGAACCAGAGGTAACAGGTGACAGTGCTTTGTTTATTTAACCGTCCCGACTTATCTTCTTCCTGATAAATTTGCAGATATAAGATTAACCGACTTCCTTTCAACTCTTTCACTAAATGCTGTCTTGAAAATATGGCTAAACACTGAGCAACTTAGTGGCCCAACCAAAATGTCTAAAGATCTGCTTTTCAGCCTACTCGGAGAAGAGCACGTTCTATGTATTTACACATCGGTGGCTGCAAAAAACAGGCATTGTGGAAAAAATCGGTTTCCAATACATTGCCAGTCACGTAGACAGAAGTCATTTCCTCGCTCCTGAAAATAGGTAAATAATAGGTTTTTGGCTGACTAGGATAACTTCAAACATTCATATTATATCGTGGAATGGACATCAAATGATCCGGTTACTGGAAATGCTCCCTCAATGCACCTTGGGGTTCGTTCCATAGTCCTCGCACACAGTCGATAACAACCAATGATGACACAAGAAGGAATTTGCACAAAAGGCAGAAATTGCAATTCTACTCTAATTTGGCTTTGTCAGTGTTCCTTCATACATACATTCACGAGAACGGAAACAAACACGCGCACACATACATGACTAATATAGCCCACTACCAGGGTCTATCAGATGAGTAATAAGCACTTAACCGAACCAAAGTTCATAAATTCCCACCATCAATCAAGTAGATAATTGCTGAAGTTATTAGTTTGAATTCTCTTTGGAGTTCATATGCCCGAAACCGCATGAAGAACGTGGGAAGTCTACAATTGTCTAGAGAAGCCGAAATAGCCATTTCAGGCTTATTAGTTTTTGTCAGGCGGTCATAGCCAGCCGCAAGTTCTGAGGTGCATGCACATTTAACTTCCGACTTACAAGTAGTCACGCCTTCAATATAACTTATCCGTGTTGACGGCTATTTTCGATATACTCAAATAGGTATCACTTACGTACTAGTTAAATAATGAATGCCCGTACATGCAGTCATAGAAAAGTTCGATTGAAAGTCTAATTTCGTTAGTTTACGTCGTTGTAACAGTGGCTAAGATAAAAAAAATTAGAAATATCCGATATTATTTACTCGGGGTTATTTGTTGGAACGTTTACGCTGAAAAGATAGGATCCTGCAAAACGGTGAAAGTTCTGAAAAACAAACAAATTGTTCTGGCCCTCGGCTAGTCTTCTTTCCCATCCAAACATACACCTGAAACTCCAACCTTAGCCTTAATTCGTACCATTGCGTTTGCGTTTCCAGTGGAAGGACGATCAAGATGTTACCCAGTTATGTGGTAGCTTATGACTGAATACTGTAGACCTTGTTTGGCAGTCCGGTATCCGAAACCATTGAGGTTTGCATATTAGTTTTGTAGTGGTATAGCAGGGGGACTAACTCATGAAATGTCAACCGAAATTCCGAAATGCGTGTTCGTTTCGAAAAGATTAATTAAATAATGTTGTAAATTTAATCATCGTGCAGCTTAATTCTATGAAAACTCAGTTACCACAGGATGCTGGCTTTCGAGCGTACATTTTCCGGCTGCATACAAACACTATACTCTGTAAAAAGTGGCCACTTAAGTAGCATGCATTTTTCTCATTTATTTTCGATGGCCTTACAAATTTCATTATATGTCACAGAAAAAGTGAATAAAAATATTCATTATTTGCTCATTCGGTAGAAAATGCTGTCTTCTTCCAATTTTGTACCTGAAGGAAGGGTATAATTCAGTTTTCAAAAAGTTTTCCGATCCCCGACGTTTTATGAACAGCCATTTCGGGGTATAAAAAAATCTCACAATTATACATTTTTGAAGACTGTATTATGCCCTTTCTCGAGTATGTCATCGGAAGAAGACATACGTTTCTACCGAATTAGTAAAAGACTAAATATTTTAAAGCATTTTTTAATATGAAATATTATCTAATTTTTGAGGGCTTCGAAAATCAATGAGGAAAAAGGCATACTACTTGAGTGTCCATTTTTTACAGAGTATAATGTTTACATACAGCCGGAAAATGTTCGCTCGAAAGCCAGCATCGTGCGGTAGCTGAGTTATTATAGAATTTTGCTGCAAGACGATTAATTTTACATTACTATTTAATTAATCTTTTCGAAAAGAACACGCATTTCGAAATTTTGGATGACATTTCATGATTTAGCCTGCCTACTGTAGGTATTACGACACTGATTTTAACTGCACTGTTGGTCCTTTATTCCGCTGCCTCCATAAAACGTTTCCGCCAATCTAAGTTGTAGTGGGGTGTGATGTTGTGCAATCCACGTAATAAAATTGACCGAAAACAACAATAAATGAATGTTTTTAAACTCACTGCTCTCTGGCCTCGATTGCCTTTTTGTGGGCAGCCTCACTTGCGGTTCGTGCCCTCTCTAGGACTAAATGTATCTCGCGCATCATGTGGTAGTTGTAGAGGGCCAGATGTGGTTTGCTTCCAATTGGCAGTGCAAGGAACACCAGTTTACCATTATGATAGCGACCCTGCTCAAAGGTCCCGTCTTGGAAGCGGGTTTGCCCGAGGCCGTGACGTTGATTCTTGAACCACTGTCCGCAATAGGCCAGGCCATCAGTACGTTCACAGACACCAAATCCATGCCTAGTATCGGACAGCCATTCTCCGGAGTACACCTCGATGGTATCGTCAGAGACAAGGTCCAGTTCCAGCTATTAGAAGACATTGTAAGCACGTACTTAAAATGGTCTAATATGCGGGTAAACACATAGGTTCAGTGAGGTTGACTTAAAAAGGTCGGCAGGTTATTGGAGTACAAAAGACCGTAGAACGATGCAGAGGTGGATGATACTTTTGAGGGTTATCGCTTTTTGGACAGCTGCCAAGGGAGAAGCCGAATTGTTTACTCCAGGAGGTGGCTGCTGTAAGATTGCTTATTTTGATGTTTAACCATGACAATTTTTATGGCCTGACTGCCTTAGAAAGTGACTATGGCTATTTGTCGGACGCAGGTTAAAGTCAATGAGTCATTCGTAACATATTCTATTCTCCTTAGCATGTGAAGCAGTTGTCGGGTCTTCTTCCACTTTGATCGGCGCGGATCGCAGCTCTCTAGCTATTTGGGTTTACCACTTCATCCATCAACGTCAGTTAGCCCACGCGCTAATCAGGGATGGGGGGGGAATACAAAAATGGGATAAGGTCTCAGTACCGCAACGGTAATTTCCTTTGCCGATGAAGGAATGCTGATCGTTGTTCTACACAGAGCAAACCATCAAACCAAATGTTACAGCACAACACTCACGATGCGGACTGCTTGGTGCGGCTAATTTGAATGAGGAACAGAGTCCCGACCTAAGCAAAGGAACTTGGAGGCATCTAAATAAAAGACAACAAGTACCCATGGTTTCCAATTGTTAGACTTATCAACCGCCATATTTTACTTAGCGCTCACACTCCGCACTCTGCCTACATGTGAGATTACGTACTGCTTTTTCCAGAAGCTGAAATTTATCATTGTGGAATCACAGCCACTGTTCCGCTTAGCCTATCTGTTGTTGCTCGACGAGCGCATCCTAAAATGATGCATTTTAAATGATATGGTCGGTCGTTTTCCCCTTGATTTTCACGTACGCGTGTTTAAACTCTACCACGGAAACGATCAGAGTTTTGCAATCTAAGCGTTCGTTGTTTGCTCATTGTTACGGTTTAAACTTTACTGTCATTTCCGTGTCCAATAGTTTGGATTTGGGGGACTAGTAACTGGGATCTCGCCACCACCAACTAGACCGGTCTCAGGGCCGATGTGACCAATCTCCCTGACAACTAAATTCCCTGACGCAACTTTTACTTTTACAATAACCATAATCGACACTGGTGCACCTTTCAGTGTTATTCCACCAACAACAGCCGACCTTCAGTCTTCCAAATTTGGTCTTTTTTTTCAGGTCGTCAACGCCTCCGATGTCCTCTTTGGTTCTCGTTCCCCCTGTCCGGGGGCTGTTCCCGAGTCTGTGTTGTAGCTGATCCGATGTCATTCTTGTCCATTTAAAATGTGTTCTCGGCTGCTGCAATTTTGTCTTTGTGACCAGACAGCATCTGTCGTTATCAGGGACATCATTCCATCGAGTAAGCCGGTCAAGTTGTCGTCCAGAACCTCCACCCAATTCCTTAGTTCCGGAGGTTCTTGGCCAACTATCCGTGTATCACCCATCCCAACTTCAACACATGCATCACGCTATAACATGTAGTTCGCCATAACCAGCGTCAGTGGTTCCACGGTTTTCCTTCCGCCCTACTATCTCGCATCTGCAGATTTGGCATCTGATATGCCTGGGAGGTCTCATTCCTTACGGAGAGATGTCATCCACCCTATGTCGGCTGCAATGAAAATTCGGTACTGGTGGATAAGTAATATAAATAGATATGGTAAGAAACGAGTAGGCACAAGAGAAAACTGGCGGTTGGTTTAGACCAGTAGCGGCTCATACTGTCCAAACTGAACGACGTGAACGTCGTGCAGTCGAAGTTGTGGGCTGGCGAGATAACCGCACGACAGGGCGTCTGCAAGGCGTACAGCTATCGAATGACGACGGCCCGACCGTCGTCCCCGACGATGTCTACCGTCTGCTCCGCAGCAAGGTAAAGCAGGCACGGTGACTTGCGCGAATATTATAGTGAGAATGGACTTGCGCCGCGTATACCACACCCTCTGCTCCGCCCTGTCCGGTGCCGGTGTCAAGACAAGTCGAAAAGAACGGCGGCGGAAGAGGGCGCAGGTGGCTGGAAGGGCCGGACCCGCACCTCAACGTACCACCACACCCCGTGGTCCACAAAAAACACTTGACCAGGCGTTTGGCCAACAACAGCAAAATAACGGGTCAGAGAGAGGAGGATGATTGGACAAATATGCTCACGACCTGCATACCTTGCGAGAGCGCAAGCGCATCCACCGGTAGGGAACCATGTGCCAGAGAACTTTCAGCGCGAGAACCATGGTTTGCTGGAGCATTTCATAGCGGACACTAACAATCCTTAAGGCCCAGAAGAGTGACATGCAGGCCTGCACTGAGCCTGCGTCACTACCCTTCAAAGCCCGAGTTAACAGTCAGTCATTTTCTGAGAGCCACTAACCATGAAACACACACTTCTCACATGCGTGAGAGCTGTTGAATGATAACCCAGCCAACCACCATATTTATCTTCCTGTGGTTCGTGCGGCTTTTTGTCACCACTTAACGAAAGAAAAAAGCTCAAGGACGGACGAAACAATATGTGCGGACGTATAGTAGACAAGTGAACGAAGTAGTGAAGACGGGTGTCAGGATGGCAGGACTCACCAACAGACGAGATTGACAAGGAATGTGACAAGCGCGGCATCAAACGTGGTTCACAAGTTTTAGAATTCGGACTGAGCACGGAAAATCTAATATCTTAGGATAAGTATTCTGATCTGCTAAGCGAGAAGTCAGACCGTGAATACACCTTTCTCAGTAATAGTCTCATATCCTTTAGATCCAAAAGATATTTAAATCACGGAGCAAAATATAGGGCGAATTCATTGCAGTATTACCCATATCCGGAAGTATTTTCGGGGTAAGTCACCGTAGCCGGAGACGACCTTCCAGGAACCCACAAAGATTAATTTTTCAGAACCCTCCAATCGCGATTGCCTGCTTGGCGCAGCAACGTACGTTCCCCTGAATCCTCGTCTTAAATAAACGCCATTCACACCGCCCTTATAAGCCAAATGCAGGCGAAGGACCATTTCAGTGGTAACACTGAATTTGTCACAAAAGTCTAAGGTGGATTTTCATTTCCTGATTTCGTGAGTCAGTTAGAAGGAGCTGCTCTGCTGATCGTTATGTCCATTACGAATGTTTTCCCGAACACTCCGCTCCTTACCTATACGTTTTTGTTCATTGACGCGTGTCCGCGTTAGCCTGAAATTTCAGAAACGACTTCCGACCACAACTAATCACCTTTTTGAAAACTCGTAACCAATCCCGCCAGAGGTATTTTTCTAGCCGCAGAAACATGTCTACGTTAGCAATCACACATGAAATAGGCTGATTTAGAAAGGAAGGAGGACCGGTTAGAATCCTCACAGCTGTGCAGACCATAAATTATCCACGCAGCCAGTCGCAGCAGCAAGGAGGAAGCAACCGAACAAGGCGGTAAAACGCCGGACGCCCCATATTAACCTGGCGAGTAATATGCCTTGCACTTCAGGGCTGGGCAGTAGGTCAAGCAATCAGAAACAGGCAGAAAATAGGTCATTTCCAACAATTTATTCCAACTTTCCAGGTGTGTTATAGGATGATGTCAGTGAATTTAAGGATTTCGGACGGTAATTGCGGGAGAAGCAGTTGGGGCTGCTCCTTGGGCATGTTTCGGCATTTCGGATGATTTCCTAAAGTGTGGCTAATAAACTTGCAAGCGTTATTAAAGGAATCTGCTTCAATTCGCTGAGATAAGTTCAAACTATTTGTGTTTATTTATTGCATCATTCATTCTTCCATGTTAAAAGTTAGACCTCGTGATCAGGGTGATCTGGTCGGGCGAAAAATAACAGAGTTTAGTACAGCCAACTCTCTTACCATCTGAGCTACGAGGCCGCACCGGACGATGCAAATTTAGTCGCAGTTGGATCAAGTTTGCCCGCCAAACTTACTGCAACGTCTGGCACCACCAAATCTGATACAGTAAGATAACTGTCCGAGCAGGCTTTCCTAAGTAATAAGTCTAGAATCCACCAGACGACAACCAGGGTTACGCTATTCATAGGCGTTATGACAGATTTCAAAAACTTCACTTTGACCCAACTGTGAAAACTCGATGGGATTCGAAACCACAATAGCAAGCAGAGGCTTTAGTACAGCCAACGCTCTAACCATCTGAGCTACGAGGCCCCACCAGACGACGCGAGTCTAATCGAATTTGGATCGACTTTAACCACCCAATTAACTGCAACGTCTGGTCAAAGTAAACTATCTGAAATCTGCCGTAACACCTATGAATAACGCGAGCCTGGTAGTAATCTGGTGGACTCTAGATGTATTACTTAGAAAATTCTGCGCGGGCAACCAGCTTACCGTATCAGATTTCGTGGCGCCAGAAGTTGCAGTAAGTTGGTCGGGCAAACTTGACTCAAATGCGATCAACTTCGCGTCGTCTTCTGGGGCCTTGCAGTTCGAATAGCAGATCGTTTAGCTTATTTCTTCAAGGTAATGTTAGAAAAAAAATAATAACACAATACTCGAAGGGTGGGAATTTTCTTTAGCTTTTGCAAGTTTTCACATATCCACCCGTTTGGCCATTTATAACGTATAAGTTAAAAGAGTCGTTTGGATCAAACCACATTAATTCTTTAAAATAATAGGACTTTTACAAAAATTTGGTGGAGAGGATTTTAATCTAAGCAGAACAAAATACACTAAGCGCGAGGAATGCTCAGTTCCCAAAAAGGCTCTATTGGCTTACCATATCACCGGAGGCGATCTGATTTTTATGCCGGGAACGTGGGGAACTGTGGACAGAGATGGTTGAACTGCGAAGTTGTTTCATGCAGCTTCCAGTAAATCCGGAGCACTGCGAGGGCAGTCCCTCATCCGGTTGGAACAGATCCGAAAGGGACTGTGTGCGTGTGCGTCGTGAACTGGATGCTCTGGCAGGCCGGCAGCCAAAAGGGTTCCGCCTCGGCGACTGCAACTTCCGTATCCGTCGGATAAAGAGGTCCGAACGACGGGAGGTGAGTACGAAGCCGCACTTGAATCGTGTGGCCAAAAGACGGATTTCATGTTCACGGTCCCGCCGAAGTCCGCCGTTGTAGCGTGAAGAGGGTGCAGTGTAGGGCTCAGCGTCTACCTTAACGACGGCAGCTGGATCACTTTCGTCGGGGTCAATCTCATTCGGATCATCGTCGAGATCGGTGTCGCAAGGCACGTCACCAGACCGGTCGCTGACACAACTGACTCGATGACGTAGTTCTGGCGACTTAGAAGGAAGCTTGCCGCGTTTTTTAAGTTCATCGAGCTTTGAAGAATTAGCAGCCGATTGGGCCTCGGGATAGTAACTAAGGACCTCACCGTAAGGGATAGATTTTCGCACACCCAGGCCCTCCCGGATGCCGTTTTTATACTCTCCCGCATATATGCCTGTGATGGAGGAGAAGGTTTTAACGTAGAACATTACCCATTACAACTCGGCAGAGTTTCTGATGCAAACATTTGTAAAAGATACATCTGGGCTTCATCAGCTGAGAAAAACTGAATACCCGAGAGCCACGATTTCGAAAAAATTCAGTACCCACGTATCTTAATTTACCTGTTATGCGTGCTGGAGTCCGGAAAATGTGACGGAGACCACCAGAAACTAAAAAACATTTATAGCTTCGGAATTAATTGGATGGTATCAAGATGGACACAAGCGACATGGAAATCACTATTCCTACCATCATCCCATGCCAGTGAAAATACTAGATCAAAACGACTGATGATATGATTGGAGGAAGCTGCTAACATGGCAGGAAATCTCGCTGGTGCCAGCCTTGAAATGGCTGACTTAGCTCTCATAACTTCTGTATGCTTCGCGTACTAATACCCTTGCCTCTGGAATAACGAGAAAACGCTAACTCTTGCTATTCTAATTTCAGTAGCAGATGCTATTGCATTTTGGTTGAGTGCCCAACTCCATCAGTTAATTGCCTGGTCCAAAATAACCATAACACCACCTTCAGTAGGTCGTCCACGGGACCAGGACCGTTACAATACCTTGTAGGCAATCATCTGGACCATCACGCTCAACTTCCCAAAACACGCGTTTTTTCAGTGCCAACCCAAGGATGCGATTACCTTAGACGAGCAATATCTAGCAGGTTCAAAAGAGCCCTCTTGACCACGTGTCTGCCGCCAGTACAGGGTCTAAATTAGAAGATGCCAGATGAGGCAAATGCTCAAGGCCGCCTCGGTTCAAGATGAACATAATGGCATATAGCCTGATCTGTAGTTAAAATATGTGTAATAAGAAGAAAACGTCATGATTGCGGTCTTGAAATTACATGACATACTACTTGGGAGCAGGAGTAGGTCGCTGCCGAAAATCAATAATACGGTAGCCTTTTATTTTTCCTCACGAACTTGAACTTTATCACTGGCAAAAGTGCTTGACTAGTAGATGATGGCATCAATTTATATGGATACGGGGCCATACGATATGCATGCATTTAAGACGAGGCCTTCAGCCGACTGTTGTGGTATGACTCAAAAACGACCAGAAACACGTCTACAGCATTGCTCACGCATTACCGTACTTATCCTCAATCACAGCCATAAGTTCGTTGGTGGCGGGGAGGCGACCATACGGGCCAAAGGACGCGCACTTTTAGTAATGAATAATTTCAAAGGCATCACACCCACCATCTCTCCCTTAGTGTTAATGTTTCAGTGCCAAGAGGACCAAAGATTAAGCGTCGATACCGTGACTGCTCAGTCATTCACCTTCCCCTCTAGCGTGCCAAATATGTGCTGGTCCCCATACCGACTGAAGTGGGCTTCACTAGTCCAGTTATCATATCCGCAATGAAGGACATTCCTAGTCTGACTCTGAGTCCTTAATACTGCGCTTGTCTGGAGGACGGTACCTATCGACGTCAGATCATAGAAGGCAGCGTGTCAGCCTGCAATGATTCCCAAATTAGTGATGGTGGGGAAAGGCGAAAAGCGCATGCACAAACTACGAATAGAGAACTTCGTCCCCTTTTCTCAATTGGTATGGTTCAATAATATTCGTTTTTTATTGTTTGGCAGCGATCTATCAATAGTATCCGACTGTTTTGTTCTGACAGGAAAAACACCAGTTTATACCAGGTCCTTTTCGCATGCGTCACTATTGAGTGGACTAAAATGTCTGCGACTTAGGTATGAAGTTTTTCTTTCCTGAGCTGCAGCTATATCATTGAGAAAATTTGAAAAAGTGGCATAACACTTCTCTCAACTAGAATAAAGTGGGGTGTAACTACCGTCCCCTGCATGCACGGACCATGACTGAGAAAACAAGCCGGAGTCAAAACACATCTTAACGTTCGTGTTGATCCTCCAAAGAGCGCACGAAATGTTTCTTTGCTATGACTAATTCGTCAGCAAATGGCAAGAATAAAACATCGATTTTTATCAACGCGACGCCTAGACCGCTGATCTAACAGCTATGATGATGGTGAGACGGATCTCGGATCCCGTAATTCGGTAAAGGCGTTTCTTCCTATAGCTTTGTGCAGTAGTCCAAGCTGTCATTGCAACTATTGCCTGTAGTATGGATACCCGGCCATCGTATCCTGCCATGCTTTATGTTTTTCATTATGAACTCCAACCGCCTGCTGACAGCCCTCTTCTGCTTCTGAAACACGCACCGGTAGTGATATGTGCAACGGTCGCTGATTCTGCTTAGCCAGAAATCCCAGCCCGGGCGAGAGAAAAGTCGAGATTTGTGTACAACCGCGTATGCGTATTCATTTAGATTGCTTAAATCGGCCAAAGACCTGCTAATTATAATTTTTGGAAACCATCTGGCGGATACTGAGTCAGTTGTTCAGGTAGTCAGTCTATTTTTTTAAAATTAGTGACTTCGATGTGTTACGGTAGATTAGTCCGAACAAACAGAACTTAAGGATCTCAATAGGAATCTCTTAAGTCAGCTGGTTAGAGCGTCGATTTTACCCCAATCATGCCCTTCTTACCATGGTCACCAAGGTCTTCCCAGTTAGGTATTCAGTTTCGAAAAATATATGAAAAAATACGTTTGGAAAAATATCCGCGACGTCCTGCATATGAGCGACTTGAATGACAATCGAGGCCACTTATTCACGACTGGTCACCTTTCATCCTACTTCATTCACTGATTAAATTGTAGTTTCTACGGTATGATTATAAGGCAAAATCTCTTACGCATCTATATAGTAGACCTTGAAATACCTAAAAAATCAATGAAAATGCTAAATAATGCTACCTTCAGTTGCAGACTATTACCTAAAGGGACTGAAGACTGATGGGCTCACAAAGAACGCTCAGGGCTATTTCTACGTCTAACATGAGGCGACGAGACTTTCAGTCAAGTGCGTCCATCACAATGAACTAAATTACACGAACAGTCCATGCTTTGCTATTTGGTTTCAACGCTGATATATCTCCTGTCATATTTACTGTAATTTGGGAATAAAATTTCAGTTCTTCATTCGGTTGTTATTTGAATACGGAGGATAGTTCGGATTTCAACAGTTTAGGCAAAAACAACACGACCGACAAGGACAAGGGAGATCGGACTGGTCATTTTTGGCCTATTAACCGTCATCATCCAGGCGTATCTAATCCCTTAGGCTCCACCCCGTGACTTGTTGGTTAGAAGTCCGGCGCACTAGCCAACGGGCTTACTGTTCTGTCGGTTGAAATTGGGTATAGACACTGGTAGAGGGACTCTCGTCAATCGCGTTACGGGACGCACTCGTCCCTCCTTATTCCTTGGGGCCCACTCCCGAACGTCGCCAGCGGGCGCCTAACGGCTAGCAATGTGGGCAGAATAACATTACGACAAAGACAAGCGTGCCTCGTAACGCGATCAGTAGGCATCCCTCCACCATTGTACGTGCCGGATCGCAAACCGACAGGACTGCGAGCCTGCGGTTCAATAGTCAGGGAGTTGGTCTTCTAACAGACAGGTCGCGAGATCGAGCCTCAGGGTTTGCCGGCTAATGACGGCCAATATGCCAGATGTGTTCAGTCCGATTCCCCCATGTCTTTGTTAGGAACGTTATTTTGCCTATACTACTAGCCGCCATGCGGTTGTTGACGGGACTCGAGAATGAGCGGCGGGAAACAACGGGACGAGTTTATCCCCTAACGCGATCGGTGGGCGTGCCCCTACAATTCCACAGTTTATTAAGTCCTTTACGCTCTGGAAAGTAACATGCGCGATCGCCTGTTTCTATTGCTTGCAGTTAATCTCCCATACAATACAATTCAAAGCTTCCTTTATGTTTCCGTATATGAGTCTTCTGAAAATAATTAACTGCAGCAATCGAGTCGGATCGCACTGCATAGATTGCAAGCATCCTTAGTCGTCTTGTGGGTATGAGGTCATAGTAATGACACGTTTTGCATGCAAAGATAATTTATAAACTCAAGATCCAAATTTGTTGAGGGCATTAATCCGTACAAAATAAGAGTCCAACGGAAGAGTTTTGCAAATCATTTTAAGCGAGCATGGTTTACTTTACATGAATATTTGTAATTAATTTATTGAATCTTCCTGGATTTTTACTGAAAAGCTGGAAACGGATCATCGTAGTAGACCAAAATGATATTATCAATGAGGGAATTTATGGCTATGCCTATCGATAATCAACATTTAATCTTTACCTGACTTATATTTCTCATTTCATGGTACATTTCATGTTTGTATTTTATTTTATGGGTTAAAGTGCATATCATTGTCATGACTTTCCCTTAGCAGTCTGTCTGCCAAACCTATCTGTCAAAACTTGTTAGTTATCATCTCCTGCGTTTGATATATCTGCGAATAACCAAATGTCAGTAGGAGCCAAATCGTGTCAATTTAAGTCTGTAAATCGAGTTTTGAGTCATGAAACTGATGATTTGTCGACAAAAGGGCTATCCGGTTAGCAACTTCCGAAGCCCGCGAATTTTCAGTGATGGACTATTTAACTGGTTGATGAGTTGGGAACCGGCCCTCAACTATGGTCTCGTAGTTTGTCTGAGATGTCGAAACATAGTGGGCTTCTGTACAACGCTAACTTTTCGCATGCTTCAGAGCAGTTAACCTCGTCCGCTAACGCTAATTTTCTTCTTAAGACAAGTTTTCAGCAGAATATATTGCGTAAGGGTCGCCCTCCATCCTATTGTGTACCGACAGTTAAAACGTTTTCGGACATGTGCTCCTTATTGTTGTCGATAGAGGTCATTTTATTCATTTCTAGCTGTTGGTAATGAGTTGCCATTAAATGTAATGCACATCTTTGAAACGGAAATTCGCTCTGCTTCAAAAACACTCTCACGGTCAACTCATGATTTCTTTAACGTTATAATAAATAACGTGGCATTTGACAAACGCATTTTTTGTAAATTTTTGGTTGGTATTTAACCTTCTTTTCGTACTAAAAATATCACAATTTCTTGATGAATGCAAAAACAAACCCAAAGGTAGAATAAGAAGGATAGTTTAATTGCCCTGCCCAGCATGCAGATTAAAAGTAAGAATGTCATGCGCGCCTAAGCTCCCATTACCTAGACGACACTGAAATGAATAAAGGAAACGTAACTAAAGTCGTAAGTCTCCCTTTCACACTTGAGCTTCTCTGCATTAATATTAAAGGAAATAAAATTCACATCGCTGGGCATTTTCCAGTGCAGCCAATATTCGTTACGTCAGCGCTCAGATGAACAGGTGAAAACTAATTAAGACAAGTTGCATATTTTCAATTCTTTTGTTAACACCTTTTTGCCTTATTGAGAAATTTTATTGGATATTTTAGTCAAAATCAACGAAACTTGCCCAGAAGGGATAAGTCAGGATCCCACTACGATTTCTGAGCTCTGGAAAATAAATTCAGAATTAGCACCATTTTCGATGGGTAAGAAAGTTTTACGGAAAACAATTTTTGACCGCTGCCCATAGTCCTATTCCATGCCAGAGGACTTTGAACTCAGTTATCCCAGGCTGTTAGTGTGCAGAAAAGTTTCCGTTTTTTAATAGTCATTAAATCAGTCGTGAACAGTTTTACGATGACTTAATGAGAAAATGAAATTTCTGAATCATTGTTAAGGAAGAGGTCGTTATCGGGCTAAGCAACTCATATAGTTCCATATTTGGTCGATTTCCAAGCATAACCACAGCAGAATGTTTCTAGTCCTAGTTAGTATACGTGCCAATTTGATGTAGTTTTTGGGGAGCTCTTTTTACAAGACGCCTGTCTCAAAGTTGGCAGCAGAAACGCTTTTTGTCAGGTGTGTCGTGCATGGGTGGTCAACCAAAAGTCAAAGTTTAGGAAAAAATAGCAAAGACGCAGTTGAGACCCCAAGTCTACTAAGTTCAGACTACTTGAAGGACGACCTAAGACGGTAACTAAGTAGACCAGTTCCGAAGGGTGACTAAGGACGGATTTTTTCACAACTGGAGTCAATGGGAGAGAAACCGACAGGAGTCGGTCGTGTAGGTCAAATTTTAGATTAGACGCTTTGCCGTCTCCTACTTGGTTTTGATGTGAGCTGGTCAGTAATAAAGTTGACGTTGAGACTATCGACACACTATCTGAGCCTTAAATCTTCGAATCGACACATGGCTTAAATTTATAGAAAATAATAGCCATAAAGTTCGTGCTAGAAAAAATGTTGGGACTGGGTTGAAATATTTTGGCCACCTGCGTTAACAATATAATATATAATAAGTGTCTTAGTGTTAAGCACTTTTCTGGAGTCTCCTCATTTGGTTACCGCTGTTTTTTGATTTCTGGAAGGGAAACACAACAAATAAATTACCCATGAACATGTTGCGAATATAAATTTTGTTGACATACACCAGCTGATGGGAGCATAATACTCGGTTTCTAAACTCTAGTTGGGGCTTTTCAGAAACTTCTCACATGAACTATAGTGTAAATTCTCATCTATAGCTTTATTTGTGTTAGTAACAAGGTTTGTATATCGCCCCCAATCTCATCCAATTTCCTGAGCGTTAGAAATGACAGAGAAATATGCAAATAAATACGTAGTTATTTTCTTAAAAGAGAAGTATTAGGGAATTAACCAACATTAGAAATATGTGGAAACGCAAGTTTCTCTGTACGTGTACTTGCCGGAAGAAGTACCGACAGAAACAAGGTAAACCAAAGCGGTTATTTTTGATCCATTAGCTGTTCTCAGTCAGTCATATCTAACCCTAGGTTGAAATAGCCTGACATTCGAACACAGGGTCATTGATAATTGGCCGACAACATCTTATAAGCCAAAGATAGCCATCCCAGATTTACATGTCTTTGTCGGTACTTCTTCCTGCATGTATTGCTCCTTGCTATGCGACTGCCTGCAGGGACTGTAGATTGAGCCCCAAGACACAAGGGACAGGCAGTCTCATAACTCGATCGGTAAACGCCATTCTCCCCATGCATATCTATAGTGTCGCAGCAGGGCCAGGCTTGATTTTGATCACTTTTTCTCGCAATGGACAAATCAATATTCCAAATTATGTGTTTTATCTGAGTGCATTGAACTCACGAGTTTGCAGCCTGCCATTTTGGGCAGGCGGCAACGATGTGAGCCCCAGGCAAATGTGTTCCCAATATCCAGTGTGAACACGTTCATCTGAAGTAGATGGTCACACCTTCCCACTCTCAGCTGATGTTTATATATGTATATGTTGTTAGGGGGCGCTCACCGATCGTTCATACGGAATTCACTCGTTCCGTTGTGCCTTAAGGGCTCTCTCTCGAGCCCAACCAGCAGTCGCACAGCGGCGCATGATAGATAGGCAGAATGGTATTACCGAAAAAGACAAGGGAGACTGGAATGGCCATTTCTGGCTTATTAGCCGTCGTCAGCCAGCCATACCCAAGCCCGAAGTGTGGAACACCCGATCGAAAACCGACAAGGCAACGGGCTCGTGGCCCGGTGAGTAGAGGCGTTGACTTCTAAACCAACAGGTCGCGAGTTCGAGGCTCGGGTGTTCCACACTTCGGGCTTGGGTATGGCTGGCTGACGACGGCTAATAAGCCAGAAATGGCCATTCCAGTCTTCCTTATCTTTGTCGGTAATACCATTCTGCCTATATATGTATATATATGGGGAGGCAAAGTTCTGAGTTCGGTTAAAGCAATCTACATCAAAAATGGCATGCATGGAGAATTTTGTAGACGACATCATTTCTAACAAACTAGCCAACTTTGTCGTAGGGACACACAAGGCGGGCATGTGAAGCGGTTGCATGTTTGTGCGTGATCCCTACCTAACCTTCTCTTTGACCGTTTTTCGACCGAAGTGCATTCGAAAACCGACATTCTACCCAATCAGAAATACCACAGGATTATGCCGCCCGAGAATCAATGTTACAACCCCACTTAAGTAATACTTCATAATCGAAAACACATTTCAGAATTTCAGACAACATTCCGTGAGATCGGTCACGCATTGTACATTAAGCTGGAAAACACTCAGCTGAAAACCATCTTGTCATCCCGAGTGAATTAACTCAAAAAATCTTCTTCGCCAAAGAGTATTATAAAAACCCTAGAGTAGTATTTTCTGTATGCAAACATGCCTAACGAAAACCCCCCAATAGTTCATTTATTTCTGTGAATTCTGTAACACCAGTAATTTTGTCGGTGCGAATAGCGCCTTGCCCTACGCTGTATCCCGTATTAGACCAGGCCTAAAATGTAATATAGAGAAATTGAGTTATTTTCCACCCTCGCGGTTATATCGAAAATTGACGGCTTAATGCGTGGCTTTTTGGATTATCAAGGCTTCATTATTTATAAAGGACTGTTTTGGCCATGTTGTTCATTAAAATAACGCATATGCACCTAGCAGTTGTGTAGCGGTCGACGGATGAAGTAACTTACGCTCCTGGCGTTTGCACGATCCAGTAAAACTGAACGGTTTTTAAGAACGCTTATTGGATTTACTGATAAAAGTGAGGAATCGCTTCTGCCGAAACGAGGCTGAAGGAAATTCCTTACTCAAAACGTAACAAATCAAATAGGGTAGCTTGACACATGTGAAGCATAAAATTAATATACTGGAGAGTTCTTTGCTGTAGTTTTGAAACAAACAGAGATATATGGCTATATTTATGTCTAAATGTAGAATATCAGGAAGTAAGCTAAAATGCGCTACCTTAGAATTGCCTTGAAATATTGTTAATCTTGACAAACGGTCCTTTTGGCACATCTGATAAATCCATGCTCTCCCGCCTCACATAACTGCCCCTTCTTTCTCCACTTGCGTGAATAACCGACTAACGAACTCTAGAGAACACCCCAAAATCCTGATGAGCTGAGATGGTCTTATTTATTGACTATTCATCCACTCAAACGGCCTGTCATAACCCTCGCCTTCTGATATTTTAGTAGCTTGTTGTAACCCTTATTATTCTATCCAGACCTTGCCTGATCGGTAGAATGGATGGGCATCCTTTGCTGGTTTTCCTGATCCGTCTATTGGAGTTCATATGTAAACTGTCTGCATAGTGTCAGCAGGCGCGTTTGTGTCTCTGATCGCAAGAGTTTGCCGAGAACGGCTGCTGCCTCAGCGTCTTCTTCCTATTATTGTGCACTTGGTCATTTTGTGACCAGGATCTTGTTCGTCAACCCGTGATTCTTATTGTCCTATTTGAAGCCTGTTTGTAGTGAGAAGGCACTTAATGATTGTCCACTAGAACAGTATTAATTTATGTATATACCTGAATGCATCACAATTTAGAATTATGTCTTATCTGAGCACGCCAAATATTTCAGATTTTAATTTGAAAAATCAATTTGGCAAACACGTGTTTCCAGTAACTCTTCATTAGGCCAAAACGGTGACATAGAAGTTTAAGTTATGCGAAGTTACAGGGTTTAGAAGTGAACGATGGGTGCTAATAATCCCTGAATCACTTATATGCCTGGTAATTTCGCATGACTTAAACTCCTATGTAACTGTTTTGGCCTGATGAAGAGTTACCGAAAACACGTGCTTGCCAAATTAACTTTTCAATTGTAGCATGGGAATATTCGTTGAACTTAAATTTTAATTTATTTGACGTCATTCTATGAAGACGAAATTAAGTTTTTATGTTTTTATGCCTAATAATTTCGGGTTTTTGCAAATGGCGAAATATTGTAATATATTTTGATGATGTATTCCCAAAGTCCAACCTACCCGCACTTAACTAAACTTGCAAATAGCAGTCAATCATGCATTCTATACAAAAAATAACTGACATATTCCTAGGTCAGCCTGCATCAGAGATGATTAAGGAACGAGATAAAATAAGCGTCCACGGTCATTTTGCTTATGGCCCATAACTTGGACATTTTTGTTGCATAAATCGAGCATCGTCTTCCCCATGCAAGTTATAGCCAAAGAACCTAGCAATGTAGACCGGCCATGTATCCGCAGAATGCTGGCTGCTACGTGGGTGTTGGAAAATCGATATGAACCAGTTTCACTCCAACTGACCATGCATTTTACTCTTTTAATTGTCATCGGCGTTTGCGTGCCGTGAATTCCATGACGGACTTAGGCTGTGCTGACCTGATTTAGACAGACTAATTTGTGCAGAATTTGTAAATAGAGGGTGGGCAATACGGCCGATTCGGTAAACTGAACAGTATTATCTCTGCTTCAGGTATTGTAGGAGTGCTGTTGTTTTCGAATATTAAAGTAATTGAAACGTCTCATCTCGACGGGGACGTTTAAGGAAGTTAAGTTGAGAACTGCCGTATGCGGCAGATAGTCTTATTCATTACCTATTCGGACGAGTTCTGGGAAAATTGGTATCAACGCTAACACCTTTTCTTAATTTAATGATAATCAGTGAATGCTTTATTCTCTTTGTGCAGGGCTATATTCACGAAGTTGACATTGTGCCAGTCACATGTATCGTACGGAAGACCGGCGAATTATCAATGCTATTATGCGGTAACGCGACAAATAATGATGGATTATTATTAATCGTCGAGATAATTCAAGTTACGTTAGTGTCTATCGCCGGTATTGGTCGTATCATACAATAGTATACTGGAGTTAGTAGGTCGCCGCCAAATTTAACTCCATTGCTTGTTTAACCCAACCTTTAAATAACGTTTTAAATGCCTTTTATTTCACTACCTATGTCTACTTATAAAGCAATAGTAGTTTTTCTCGCCAAGGTTAACGGAAAGGGCTAAAGAGCCTCCCGTTTGGAGCCAGCGTACTTACAGCCATGTGGGTTTTCACTAGAGCACAGTATATGCGGATCACTTCTGCAAGCTCATTCTGCCAGTATTTCAATCTCACACGCCAATGAAAGTTGTTCTATAGTACTTTGTGTTTTGCTTTATGGTTAGTTTCATGTGTACACGAGACGTCTTATAATTTGAGGCATAAAAGATATATTTAATGAGAATCGGCCGCATTTCGTAATTGTCATTGTACCCCCTCGTAAACCGTAATCGAAGTAAGCATAACGTTTTAAAATCGTGTCTTTTCTGCTGATCATAATTTGCTTCCACTCATGCCTCAGCCAGTCAGTCTAAAACTGAACAGTGATTGGCGAATACAGCACTACGCGAGGCGAAGTCCTTCATATTCACTTGGGGTTGAGGTTAAGGTTAGGGTTAAGGTTGGGATTAGGATAAGAGTCGTCGTCCGCTTCCCATTCCAGGCTACCAAATGCGATCTAGCCCAAAATTTAACAGCAGACTATTTGAAGATTATTTTCATGATCTTTTACATTACCATAATTTGAAGAATTTACCGAGAGCCGCGGATTCACGCTCTTGCAGTAATGCCCTTTTTGGCCCGTAGACGTGCAGAATAGTTACAAAGGCAATTGCACTTTAGACAAGCAAATACAGTCTGGGCAAGGATCGGGGAAGTACCCCAAGCAATTTGTGGCAAACAAGGAATACGTACTGTACTTTTAAGTGAGTTTTAATCCTACACGATTATTCCGTTTTGATGCTTCGTCGTCCAAATATGGGTCATCTGTTGTAGACTCTCTGGTGCATTATCTACAATCACCCTAAATTAGAGAGTGGAGCAGCGATCATTGTAGACACTTAACGTTCATTTTTTAATTGTCCTGATTAATTTCGATTGCTATATGTCAATGCAATAAAACCCTCCCATTCTGCCATTCTTCTATGCGTACATAGGTCCTACCCGTAAAATCCCTATTTCTACCTTTCCCGTAAGACAGGCACCTTTGGCTGGTCGTGTGTGCTTGGGTTCCCTCACCCGGTCGTTGACACAGTCTGTAGTTGAAAAACTCAAAAGAAGGGATTTTGACCGGTTGCCCATATCTGCACTTGTAGCCGGCAGTTATCATCTGTTAAATTCCCCTGGAATATACTACTTTTTACAGCATTTACACAATCCTCGCCATATGAATTTAACTTCTTATTTACTAGGCTGGTGTGCAAACGCACTTCCCCTCAGGAACAATGCAGTGCTGTGGTCGTATCTCGAATCTGGACACACTGCTACTTTATGCCAGATAGCTCTGGTTAAAAGAGTAGGAAAGCGAGCGTTGAGAGACTTGCTTACCTCCGTCACCGTAAGTCTCCACACCGAAAGCAGGCAATCCGTTCTCAAAGCGACCCTCAAAACGCGCTGCTGTATTCTCCTTGCCCTTGACACCTATGGTGATGAAGTCGTCAACAAACTTTCCCATAATGGCCCAGTCCTCTCGATTGAAGACGCCGAAACCATTGCGTCGATTGGAGGCCCATTCGCCTTCGTACATGGCTCCTGGAGCGTTTGGCCACAAGAAGACTCCCGATTTCTCCGACCCAGCCTCCCATAATCCCGTGTACTCGCCTTGGGACTTGTCCTTCGTAATGAGCCCCAGGCCAACTGCCTTCTCATCCAACCACTCTCCAATATATATTCCGGAGTCCTTGAATTCATACCTTCCCGCAGGAAGATAGAAGGGCTTGTTAGGTGATGATGGTGGCACTGCATCCTTTGTTGTCGCCTCGCTTGCTGCCATCGCTAACATTGCATATTACATGTCCAGACACGCAGACGCCCTTTCAAGCTAATGCTTGCTGGCGCACGAATGGAGAGAAATAAAGTCCAGCGAAAGATAAGAACTGAAAAACCGTAGAGGCACTGTCACGCTGCTAGAAGGGCAAGGCGCATTCGGGGATCCACCTCGCTTTAAGCGCACACCAGTGCCTCTAACGCAATAGCAGCAAAGGCGTCCTTCTAAGAGATGCTTTTTGTTGGAATCGTCGGCAGCGCAGCGGTGGCGGCCGCAGCTGCTGCTGCTGCCGCGTCCGCCGCCGTTGCGGAAGCATGCGTGCGTGTGTGCCTCGGGGCAGCCGACCAATCACTGACCCGAGTCCTGATTGGTCTGCACACACCGAGAATATTGACCTAATGTGCATGCGCGCCCGTAGAACGTGCTTGCACATTGCGCACACGTCAGAAGGGGGAGCTGACGAGCGCGCGCGACTAATGCCAGCGCAAATGCGATATTTGGGCGCAAGCACGTGGACTTTTGGTGCATTCGCGGGCACTTTCGTGACGGCCACCATAGGATGACCAGCTCTGCTTGTCTGCCTTATTGGGGAGGATTATACACTTGCCTCTGCGGGCGTCAGTGGACAAGGAAACTTGAGCTAGGGGTAAGACCAACTGCGAACCTAGTAAGGTTTGAGATAATAATGGCATCAGCCTCGATTCGGTCCCCCCTCCCCCTTGGCGTCCCGTTTGAGTTGATATACGTGAAAAGCTCCTGGGTGTCCCTTAGCGCCGCTAACAGTATTGCGCACTACTGGACCGATACCTACGACAAAAGAACCTCCGCCGCTACTTGGTATGCGTGTTAGCCGATCCCCCAACAGACCTGCTCAGCAGAGGTTTAAAGTTCAGATTCACGCCCCGATTCTTCCACACCTGGACTATGATTGGATCACGACAGATAACTGATGTTTCTTCCACAGTCAGATAGCGGTTTACGACAGAAATTAGGATGACAAGGTTCAAGGTTTATTGAGCGAGAGTGTAAAAGCGTTTGGCAGCAAGGTCCCACTGAGGAGTGAGATTGACGTTGGCTGTTTATTTGACTAATGTGTCTTATTTTCACGCAATGTGGACAGTAGCCTTTGGCCAATTTACCCAGTCGGGTTTATCATTCCTCAAAACACATGCGGGATTTATCAATCCATAGCTCATACTCCAGGCGAAACCGTTAGACTTCGAAGGGGTTTTTTATTTCGATAAACCGTCTGGCCTCCTTTAAGTCCCGGTACGGTAAGTAAGGACTGCAGATTACTCACAGACTCTGATTTTCCTGTTATTGGATCGCTTGTAGTGACTGTCCTCTAGGGCAGACATAACACGCGTCAACATCTATGGCCACGCTTTCGATCTCCAGCCCAGTGCGCATGTTATCGTTAGGTTTAGGTGAGAGAAGGCAAGTTCCAGTGTTATAATACAAAAAGTCTAGTGGTCCTCCTAGATCAACTTCACTAACTGGTTACCTTTCTAAACAGTTGTGTGCCCAGCAAGCTGATTCTCTTAAGCCAACAACTGAGACAAACACATTAGGGTGCCTTGACCAACTGGTTGAGTTTGGCATAATAGCCTAACACTACGTCAGAAGCTTTGGGCCGTTTGATCTACAGGATTATTCAAATGCCCAACAATAACTAGGCCATTATATCACAACAAGTGCCTCTCTCCTCTCCCTCAATATGCGATCTACTTAATGCTGCCCAAAATGACTGAACAGATCGATCTTTGAACTTTAAATCTCGATCTGCGCCTGTAGACCTTAGTTTAAGCTGCTTCACATTAAGGTAGTGATTACTTTCTGAGGGAATCAAAAAGCAACAGTCGAACTAGATTCTGATGTCGCATTTCAGTACACGTTAGCGTGTGACGCATATACGGGTTTTTAACTTTGTCAGCAGCCTTGCTAAATCTCACCACCACTTGGTTAACAGCCTCCAACTGATACATAGGAGAGGTAAGAGGGAGTGAGAGCGACACTGAGGTATCCATCCTCAGGGGAGACCAGTTCGCTCCTTACAAATAACAAATCTAGAATGCTCGAATTTATTACGACGCTCTCATAGCCGTGGCTCGAGAGCTTGCCAGTTGACGGATTACCCGGATATCTTGGGAACATTCTGGATTGACTGGATGTCTTCAAATTTCTCCGCGATGGCTCTCCCTCTCAACCTGGCATTCATCACATCTTGACGGAAGGCTGCAGTCGCTCTTATTTTAGCTCGATGTATGTAATGGGGGACCAGGTCGCTTGTGACACGCGCAGACAAATTGTTTATTTTTATAAGACACTGTAATCACGAACACCGTTGGTGGTCTTAGCATTGTCTTGTCGGTGGAACAAAGTGGCTAAGAGAGCAGGGCGTGCGGTATCTTCAGCACAAGTCTGGCACAGTGCAAACTAGTCCACGCTCAAATCCCCTGTGCTGTGCCCACTCCAAGGGCACGCGGTGGACATCGCCATTTTCGAAAGTCGAAATATCAAGTTCTTCTTCCTTTTGCTAAAGCAACTTATGATCTCGATGTGTTATGTGTGCTTTTCTTTGGAAAACCTGGCTTACGAACGGTGTTCGCTCGTCTGCCTAATTGCGGAACGTTAAGCCTTGAGCGTAGGGTCTAGGACCCATGTGGATTGTCACACAGAGGTACTTGATCGGCACTTTGAAGGTTAAGACCGCGAAGATAAGGGAGGATGAAAGGCCTTCTTCCGACTTATTTTCTGGACCGGAAAAGTTCAGAGATCTTTTATCATGGGATGGTGTAAATTATCTTTCCATCAGTGAGCAGTGAACTCGAAGTCCATTGACTGAGGTCGGGAATGCTCTCAATTTCACAATTCTTTGGTTTAACTTTTTGGCCTCATTACGGGATGGGACAAGTATATTGATGCACCTGAGGTTATGGCATGACAGGTGGGAAACGGCTGACAAGGCAAAAATTATCATTTCAATCTCCCGTGATGTGTCGGCAATGGTTTTCAAGATTAGGACTTCTCATTGAATGGATAGGTCCAGAAAACTATTTCTTGTCATTCCTTGTCTTTTTAAATAACACGAGCCGTAAGGCAGCAAAATACTTAACTCCTGAAAATTCCTCTGATATCGCGACTTTCGTCCCACAAAAATTAACTTGTGGGGTTTCATAATATTATGAGCCGGCCGTTGTCCATCCGGATTGGAATTCTTAAGACCACTATTTAGTGATCTCAGAAGTCATTCCCATCCTACTGATTGACTACACATGTTGATACATATGCAGTGCGGATAAAAGTAGGGCCATTGCCTGAAAGCATACGCTTTTTTGACACTTCTACGCCAGCACTCGGACAGCAGTTTTTACTTAGCATCTGACATTCCCTATAGCGTCCTTTTAAATTGCCTTGCGTGCATGTCTGTGGAGAACGTACCTGTGTGTCACTTTTTCACTTCTTTAACATTTTATTTTGACCCAATGGTGAAAAACCCCGCAACCTCGATGGAATTCAAACTCACAGCGGCAAGATGAAGTCTTTAATACAGCCAACACTCTACCCACCCAAGCTACGAGGCCCCACCGGGAGCCGCGGATCGTAGCATGCGTTTGGAAGAAACTGGTGACGACACACAAAGGTCGAACTGTATCTGACATCTGAAATGCTTATTTAATATCAGGTTCTGGGGAATGTACAAATGAGTCCCTTGTACTGTAGGGGCTTAGAAGGCTTAGAGAATGTTTTGAAGCTTTGGCAAAATTCATTTAAAATAAAAAGGTGTTTCACATGCTCCATGACTTACAACCAAACGAAGTATTTGGTTGTGCCACATGAAGCGATCGGTTCGTTAAGCGAAAATAATAATAATTATTATAAAATCACAAGAGTGGGGTCTATCAGCTGAAGCGACCCTTTCTCAACGAAGTACTATTTAAAATTAGTCTTATACAGACCCATAGTTTTTAATTCATCAAAGATGAGAGGTTAGCATTACGGGTGTAACCAGGACCGAGTCTCGAAAGGCAGGCCAAGATAAAAGACAGCTACTGAGGAGGATTTTTTTCGTACAGGACTCTGAACTGTTATCGCGGACAGCTGCAGGGCCCCGGTGAGATTAAGGCGTGTGCCGATACCCTGGAGGGCATTTATGTCGGTGGCCGAGCTTAAAGTTGGAGGAAGGTCAAGGTTCGTGCGTCCATGTACGCACTGTTCGTATCATGAGAAAAGAACGTTTCTGATTGCCCGGACGTGAATAGGTGTCGATAATGATGGATATTGCTGGACGACAGTGGAAGTTGAACAGAGTGGTGAGCGTCAGAATGATAGCAGTCATCAGCCACTCAGAAAAACTTCGACTTCGTGGTTTTTCAAGATGTGTTAGATGTTCTTGGCAGACATGTCTGCCAGTATTGGCTGCTTTGCTGACACTCTCCACGGTGAACTATACCCCTCGTTTCAAGGGAGAGTAGTAAACAATCCTCTCTGCAAACCACTGCACACTTGTCATGACGTTATTGGGTACCAGCTTGTTTTTAGGTATTATTGTGGACATTATGCGTATCTGACCGCTGTGCTGATCTCCTTCATTTATCCTACTGGATTCATCTCTCACCATAGATGCTGACCGACTATAAAAACAATTCTGGGGACTTATCGATGTTTAACGAGGTGGTCTGAAGTGCTTCTTCAATCAAGTTGTATCCACTCGTACACTCCTTCTGCCTCGGATAGACGTAAAATACCCGGAAACAGCTGTAGTGAAAAATCGCAAGTCTCCCGCAAGAGACAGAACAGCTGTTTGTGGGTCGGCTTCCACAGTAATCTCTAACTGATCTCCAACATGTGTGGCCTCTCCCGGGCCTCATTTTTAAAGGTCATTGTCACCGGTCCAGAATTTTGTGACCCGGTTTCAGGCCTCCTTTCTGTTTGCGAAACTTTCCGCAAAGCCAGAATTAACGTTCGATACGGCCTCATTTGCACGGACTTCTAATTAAACCAAT